GGGGAGAATGGTGAAGAGAGGATCTGCCGGGCGGTCAGTCCCGGATAAAGGATTAAGTCAATGCAACGTAAGGTCTGTGGATTTTGTGGAGAGTCCATGTAGGACATGTAGTATGCGTCAGTCCATCCTGTCTGACGTCCTGTCCGCCATGGCCTGTCTCATGGAACGGACAGACTCAACAGCCGTCCTGTCTCACAGATCAGTGGATCGTCGGTCTATGAACCCTAGACCCTAAACCCTGGACCGACTTGCACTTCTGACACAATCAAGCACTGCAGGGGCTGCCGGCGCTCGCTGGAATGGCAAGACGCGGAGGAAGGGGATGGAGGGAAGACAGAGATGCCCTTTCCTGCCCCCAGGCCCCGAGAGAGCAGTTTCACGGCAATGCGAGCTTTCTTCCCTTTCATTCCGATCAATCGTCGCTCAATCTCTATCCGTGGCTGCGTGTGAGAGAATGGCTTTCTTTTGTCACACGTGTGACACGCGAGCGTCTGTCCACACAACCGATACCGGTACGCGTTTGAAACACACACCCACCAACACAGGCAGGCAGGAAGACGCATGGATGCTTGCGCGTTGCCTTCCTCTCTCCTCAGGTGATGTGGTATGCGACACATGTGGCGAGGGGTTCGTGGAGGAACTGGACGAGGCCGCCACGGCACCAGGGGATTCTCCAGCTGCTCCCGGTGGTGGTTTGCCCTTCGGCTCACTGCTGAGTCTTTTTTCACGTGCGATGGCGGCATCCACACAGCCTGTGCAGCACGAACCAGAGGCGCCACAAGCACCACCCCCGCCACAGCAGCCGTCACAGCCCGCACAGATGGCGGGGAGTGGCGGCGACATCCCAGCGCCATCGAACATCCACCAACTGCTCTCTGCCTTCTCGCAGCACATGTGAGCTCATGCTCCAGATGTCTGGACGAGAGTGACACCTACATCAATCACATCGATGTGTGTCTGTCATTGATATATGCTTTTGTGTGTCGTCCCCCCCACCCCACACAGGCCACCGCCTGGCAGCGGTCCTGAGATCTCACAGCATGGTGGGCTGACGGTCGTGCGACTCAACGCCAACACGGGGAGAGGGCGAGGGGGAGGGGGAGACGGGTCCGGGAGTGGTGCTGCCAACGGCCTGCCCTTCCCCTTCAGCACGATCTTCTCAAACCTCATGGCGCAGTCGGGTGGGCCTCAGCAGTACGGCACAGCCAGGGTGTGGCGGTACGAGCCCACAGCAACAGGGGGCCACTTCGTCCAGGGCCAAGATGAGAGCCAGCACTTCCTGGAGAGCCTCAGCAAGTACGACAAACGAGCAGGGAGGGCATGCAGCGGCTGGCGTTGACGGATCCACACCTTGTCGTATGGTTGTTCATGTGTCTGTCTTGTTTGGCAGTTTGATGTTCGGTGGCGGTGACAGCGACAGTCCGTTTTCGCTCGATCGCTTCATGGAGCGGATCGTGCAGAGCATGATGGACCAAGAAGAAATGTACGTGTGTACTACACACAACACACGCCACAAAGTCTCATATCCTCTTCATTGTGTCGTCTTGTCTTGTGCTGTGTTGTGTTATGGTGTGCTGTGCTGTGCTGTACTTCTCTCATGCCGTGCAGGCCCAACAGGTCTCCGCCGACGGCCCGCCACATCCTGGAGCACATGCCGACCCACAGAATCACCAAGGAGGAGGCAGGCAAGCAAAGCATCACATGTATGACTCGGTTGCAGAGCCCAGAAGCCAGGCGGCAAATACAATGCATCGCTCCCTCCCCTGTTGCAGCGTCGGGCCTTGAGTGCACGATTTGCCAGGATTACCTGAAGGAGGGCGATGATGCGTGGAAACTTTCAGAGAATCCCGAGTGGTGCAGCCACATGTTCCACGTCGCCTGTATCCGGCCATGGTAACACGGAGGGAGGGAGGGAGGGGAGGGAGGCAGGGAGGCCACAGCGGAATGGTCGTTGTGGTTGGTGTGTCTTGTGTTGTGTCGTGTTCAGGCTTGAGCAGCACAACACATGTCCTGTGTGTCGGTATGAGCTGCCAACCGATGACGAGGAGTACGAACGGAGGAAGAGAGAACGGAGAGGTCACCACCGCACCGCACCGCACCGCACTCACAAGGCATCATGAAGGAAAGACACCGCGTGTGTGTGTGTGCGTGTGTGTAATGGGTGCAGATCAGTTGCAGCGCCAGTTGAGTCACGAGGGGGACATGCAGCGCCAGCCTGCCTCGTCGAGCTCGGCGGCACCGCCAGACAGCCAGCAGCATGGCCAAGGGGACAGACAGTGATTGAGTGGCGGGAGAGATGAGGACGGACAGACAGGGATGGACGGACCGGACAGACAGTGTATGTGTGTTTTTTGTCTTGGGAGGGAGAGGGGTTGGTTGTATCGTTGGTTGAGGGTGGGATGGGCGCCGTGTCGTGACGTGAGTGGGAAGTGCATGCAGTCATACATTCATCCATGGTTGTACAGTATACTGAGAGAGAAAAGGGGAGAGCATGATGATGTGAACACTTCCTAGAGCGCCAGGCGATCGCCGTCACAAATCGGCACTCTGGTCATCAGAATGGGTGGATCATCGTCCACTCCATCCGAAACTCCCGAGTCCAGTCCGCCAGCTGCCACCAATGAGATCATCCTCACCCCCGATTTCCTCCACACCTACAGCACCACCGAGGGCGCGCCGCAACCACCCCCTCAGCCACAGACATCACTGGATGCATCAGAAGCCCCTGCCGCCCCTGCAGCGCCAAGCAGACCGCTAGACGAGGCGACAGTGGCGGAGCTCAGGGCACAGTGGGAGAGGGAGTATCGCATGAAGCTGCTGGCGGAATTCGAGAAGACAAAGAGGGAGGCGATGGAGGCGGAGATGACCAGACTCGAAAGCAAAATCCTCAAGTGAGCATTCAAGTCAGACAGATAGACAGAAAGACAGACATGCCGGGAGTGAGGCAAATATTTGCCTCTCCCTCCCTCTGTGTCTGTGTGTGTCAATGTGTCCATGTGTGTGTGTGTGTGTGTGTTGTGTGTTGTGTGTCAGGTTGAAGGAGCGTCCGGTGCCGTGTGAGGATGAGAGTCGTGCAGTGCTGGAGTGCTACACCACGGAGAAGGACAAGCTGAACTGCGGGGACGCAGTCAAGGCACTTCGACGCTGCAGTCGTGCCGCTACCTGGGGGAGGCCGCTCGAGGAAGACTGACTGAGTGGGCGGTGTTTCATTCATTCGTGTGGGATATACATATTTGCAGCTGTTGAATGCCTTGACAAACGTGTTCTCGTGACACTTTCACAGTCGATCAGAGAAGTCCGGTCCGCACAGATGGCTGCCATGGATAGTCTGCACAGGCATGACTGACATGAACCAATAATCGAAACAATCTATCTCGTCCCTCGATTGTACAGACAGACAGACAGACAGCTACCGCTTCTACCTATCTATCTATCCATCCCCTCACAACAACTACAACAACGACCCCACTCTCTCACTCATCTGTCTGTCCCTCTGCCCTGCTAGCTGTCTCTTCAATCAATCACCCTTGTCACGGTTGGCCTTGTCAGACATGTCTTTGTTGCCCCTCCGCCGCTGCTTCGCTGACCCGGACCCGTTCACGTCGCTATCCTCCAGCACCTCAGGGCTGAAAGTGGGATCCTCAGACAGAGGCGGGCCGCCCGAAGGCGCGAGAAACACGGGCTCCTGTGCCTTCAGCTTGCTCGGGGGCACCTCCAGCATCTCGGCGGTCCTGCGCTTCTTGAGGTGCCGGATGTTGCGTCGGATGGCCTTGCCCGTCACGAAAAAGACGGCAGCCACCCCGAAGCCGTAGAAGTGGAGCGCCTTCCATGCGCGCCAGGAGGCCTCAAAGGTGAGCAGCTGGAAGGGCACCAACGCGAAGTCCATCGTCAGCGTCGCTATCACTATGCGCACCTGGTTTACAGACAGACAGAGGTGATCGATTCATCTCTTTGTCTGTCTCTTCTGCCCTGCCTGTGGCGCGTACGTACTGCTCTGTATACGAGGGCGATTGTGGGATTGTCTTCTCCGGGCCACTTGAGGTCAGTGAGTGTGCCCTCGGCCAGCTCGAAAAACGGGTACAGGACGAACGAGATGTACAGGCCGGGATCCACCCCGTGCCAAAAGGCACTCACCGACAGGGCCACCACACGACGGACCATCTTGGGCCTGAAAGAAACACCCCACCCGCCCCGCACACACAATAACTGAATGCATTGATTGATTGCATCTCGACCGTCCCGTGCCCTCCTGCACTAACTGCAAGGACCCATATATCCCATGCTCCCTCCCTCGTCTGTCTTGCTTACATACATTTTGCTTGGTAGTCGCTTGTAGACATTGATGGCCAGCCAGGTCTGCACGCTACAGTTCCACATGCGCACCTTGAGCTTGGTCGATGTGGCCAGCTCAAGTGCCGGGTCCCACGCCTTGATCACGTCCTCGTCGATCTTGGCTCCCGACCGGTCAGTGACGTCCTCCCGATAGCCCAGCCCCGATAAGGCGCAGGTGCACTCGGCAATGAACCAGACGAAGCCGATCTGTGCCCGCCGCATGAAGCAGAAGAAGTGGATGTAGGCGAATCGCTGCAGGAAGGGCCACTGCTGGAACTCCTCCGACGTGCTGATGACCTCCTTGGCCTCATCCACAAAGGTCATGAAGAGCATGAAGGCCGTCAAATGGAAGATGGTCTCCTTGACGCGCCGCCAGATGAAGAGCATCGGGTTGCTCTTGTGCGTGTTGGGGTCGGTGAGGGCCTTCTGGACGCTCTCGTACGACAAGTTGGGGCCGGTGCTCATGCCGGGGAAAAAGAAGATGAAGTGGACCACGTCGAGGAAGCGCGGCACCTGCTTGTGGTCCTGCGCGTGCCAGGCCACCGTCGACACCCGCAGCGCCAGCATGTACAGGCACAGGTCAGCCGATAGAGTCACCTTGGCCCAGTTGTGGTGGGCCGCCACTCGCAGCAGGTTCGCCAAGATGAACGAGAAAGACGTCCCCACCAGGCCGCAGTACTTGGTCCGATGCAGCGCCTGTGTGATGACGTATGAGCCCGCCAGCAGGACGAAAGCAAACCACAGCAGATCTCCCCATATCCACAAAAACAGCAGCAGCCCGATGCCTGTAGAACTGACAGACACATGGCACACACACATGCAGAGGGGAAGGCACAGCACAGCACAGAGAAACCACCGTCAGTCAGTGCACCGCACCACATTCCACAGCTCCTCTCCTCCGGCCTTCCCCCCCATCGACTTTCGGCTTACAAGAATGACCGTGTGAGGCCTCCCTCGCACAGCGGCAGTAGGGAAGAAAGAAACAACGATGCGAATATAACTACCGGATAAGGAGCGCTGTGCAGCATTCTTGGACAGACAAGCAAGAGCCTCCCTCCCGCAGCAGCGGTTTCAGGGAGCACCCTAGGCTGCGAGCTCAGAGCAATTTGAGGGAAGCGAAGGGCCTTTCCTGATCTGCCACACGAGAGTGCTTTGCATCGCCAGCACCACCAGCACACGAGATCGTCTCGTGATTCATCTGCTTCTCAGACCGCATGCAGGCGTCATCATCCACCAGCAGCCAGGCCACAGGAGGCAGCATAGCATGAGGGGTGGCGTGATGCAGATCAACGTCGTGTCCACAGATCATCATCAATTGACGATGCGTTGACTCTGTTGTCTGCCTCATGACAAGACACTAACACATAAACACTAATATGAACAAGTCACACTGACTGACGCACAGACGAACTCATCCTCCTGTCCGATTCCCTTGTGCCTGCTGCGCCAATGCAATGCCCTCTAGCTCTTCTTGGAGCTTGTCTGGGTCGATTACACGTCGCCTCTTCCTGCCTGCCCCTCTCGACCTGACTCTTGCTTCTTCAGCCTGGCTGCCCGTCCACTCAGACACAGACACATGCCCCCCACCATCGATATCGATAACACCTGCACATACACACAGAGAGAGATGCGAAGCGTCAGTGAATGTGGGAATGCAAGATAGATCGCGAGCCAACCCAATCCACCTCACCTGGTGGTCCATGGTGAATCAAGTCGTAGCTGTCACCATTTCGCTGGTCAGCTGCGGTTGATGGGGCACCGTCAGACGACAGTGCTGCACGCAGCGATAGCGTCGTTGCGGGTCTCTCCTCTTCGAGCATTTCTGATGTGATATCAAAGGCTTGCTCGTGCGACAAAAACGGTGGCAGGCTAGAGAAGGGCGGGAGGGCCGCAGTCGTCCGCTCGGCGGGGCGATCTGACAGGGAAGCGGTTGCAGGAAGCTGTTGCTCCTCATCCGAGTCGGCGTCTGTGTCAACTTCGCCGAGCAACAGGCCGCTCTCTTCCGCCCGCTGCTTCTCCTCCTTGGCCATCTTTCGCGCCGCCAGATCAACCTCCGACGCCTCTCGCTTCTTCCTCCGACCCCTCCCTCCAGCAGGCTCTGTCTCGCTGGCCTCGTCGTCGCCTCCTCCTTCATGTGCTCGGCGCTGAGGCTCGGCTGGGGGCGGCTTAAACAGCTCATCCAGAGAATCAAGTAGGTCTTCATCCATCTCGTGGACGCCGCTGCGTGGTTTCATTCTCTCCCTGCGGTCGCTCGAGCGGTAGGCGGAAAGATCCACAGCTGATGTGGTGTCGGCGGCCGCGCGCCGGTCGATGAGGCCCTCGATCGCCGGTGCCGCATCACCCTCAGCCTCGTTCTTGGCATCGTCTTTGGCTGTGGCCTTGGGCCGCCTGTCTTTTGCCTGACGATGATACCTCGGCAGTGGCTTTCCCAGATCCTCTGGGGGGGGCGGCGCAACGGGATGCGCACGCGAAGTGCCCGGCGGTGCTTCTTCAGACTGAGCCGCCTTCTCAGCCGCGTCCGCCTCGCTCATTAGCGCCTCCACTTCGCGCACCAGCTCCTCCTGCCGGGCCCGCTTCCTCTTCTCGCGCGGCCCAGCAGACTGGCTTGCCGCTCTGGTTGCCTCCGTCACGGCGTGATCATCCTCTCTGATCTTGTCCCTTGGTCGTTCCTCCCCGAGCATGTGCGAGGGTGTCGGGTCGAAGGGCGACAGAGGAGGGGAGGAGGGCTCCAGCAGCTGCTGTGGCGCGTCGGCCGCAGCGTTGGCGGGTATGGCGTCAAAGGCGGCGTCAGGGGGCGGCTGGGTGACTTGCGAGGGGTCGAGGTAGTGCTCGCTGACGGTCTTGAGGAAGTCCTCATACTCTTCCAGAGACAAACGGTCCGTCGAAAAGCGTCGCTCGATATCCACGAGGGAAGCATCCTCGGTGTCTGACGTGATGGCGACAGAGGGGATGAGATTTGGGACTCACAGATGAATGAGAGTCGTGGGTGTGGTTCGGTTCACCATTGTTTCTGCTCTTTGCGACGAGTCTGATGAGGTCTCCAACCTTTGGCTTGGTGTCGGCCTGCTCGCCCCAGTTGGGCAACAGATGACGCCTGAGTACGAGACACACACGCCCATACACAGGACCCACGCATAGGTGCAGTGATGGGCCAGCGGGAAGTGCAAGGCATCCATCACTATTGTTCTTTGCCGACCAGAATGAGTAGCAGTAGAGGTGTCGTTTCTGGCCAGTCACTGAACGGGCAAGCAGCAAGACAACACATACACAGGTGTACTGTACAGGTGTGTAGCGACCACGTGCGGTGCGTGTGTGGATGTGTTTGCCGTGCCGACCGCATTGCGCCCATTCATCGTGGTGGATGTGGACGACCTTCCAACCCATCGCCTCTAACACCTGATCGATACATTCATTAAGTCGATCCTCATCTCACACCGCACCGCACATGGTGTGTGTCACGTCAGTCATCTTTCTGGCTGAGCTGACCCTGGTTTTGAGTATTGACAGCGCCGTCCGCATGTTGGTTTCTCGGAAGAAGTGATGCGGACCATCCACCTCGACTGCCAGACGATTGCCGATCACCTGACATACAACACACAATTGCAAGGCCAGCCACTCATTTCATTTGTCGCATTCATTCATGTCTAAGTGTTTGTCTGCCTTACTATGTCGATCATGAAGGGCCCGAGTTGCACTTCGTTTCTGTGGTGCAGCCCGACCCGCGTGAAGTACCCCGATATCATGCGGTGGGTGCGGGAGCTCTGGGCCATGTAGTCGTCCACGCGTAGACTCACACGGCGCACCTGCCACATGGTCGGACGGACGGACAGATGGGCGTGAGACCGGTGAAGCGTCCCTCGTTATGCCTTTCTCCACTCGCTTACTCACCCGTGCCAAAAATTCCTTGACTGAGAACGGCAGACTCTCATAGATCTCTGGTCGCTGGCGAGAAGAGAGACAAGATCAAGCACACGAGGACAGGTGTGATTTCTGCCATGCTTCCTACCAGCAGCCTCAGGTAGAGCTCGATCATTTGCAGCTGACTCGCACCCTCGAAGCGCAATCGTTTCCTGCATCAACGGAAGAGTGCTTGTGACAGACATCAACCTAACGCCTTCTTTGTTTCGTCTTACCTGAATTGTATTGTCCTTTGCAGCATGGCTGAGAGGATGCTGCTGTCGCCCTCCCAGGGCTCAGCCTTGATGAGCGGGACATAGTGGGGCTCATGGATGTCACCAAGAGACAGCAAACCACCACCGGCAGCAGCGGAAGCAGAAGGGGCGGTGTCTGTTGTCACGGGTGTGATCTCGGCGGAGGGCTCTGCGGGTGCAACGCCGGTCGGCGAGTCTTCGATTTGCTGTGTTTCTGTCGGTTGGGAAGGTGGGTTGGCGATTGACGTGATGGTGATCTTCTCCACGTCTCGCAGGACCATGGCCAGGGCGATGTTGACCAGTTCCTGAAAGAAGAAAGCAGCGGCGGGTGGGCTGCATTGCCCCAATGCATCGTTCGACTGGTTGTTGGTCAGTCACCTGTTCCTTGAGACGGTGTTGCCGCTCGTACGCCTCCTGCAGGAGGGCATCGAAGAGGACCTTGTCGTTGATCCGCAGCCTGGCGTATGAGTAGAGGATGGTGGCCAGCTGCTGATTCGACAGATCATACTTCTTGGTCATAACCGCCTGGAGAGCAAGGACACGCACACCAATGCTTACTTACCTGACAGAGCCTTGTCTGTCTGTTTCTTCCATTCTGCTTACCCTTCCGATTTTCTTGAGGAAGTGGACATCTCTGTATCTGAACTCCGCCAACGCCTGCGAGAGGGCCGCCATGTCGATGCTCTCAAACTGCGCCAGATAAATACCGCACTGACAAAGAGCAAAGACGTGGGGGTAAAGAGGGCAAAGGACTTCGGTCTCGCATCTTGTGTCTCTTTGTGCACTCACTCACCTGTTTGAGTGCTCGTCTGACGAAGGACCTCTTGTAGACATCGAGGCGAGAGAAGGCGTGAAGAAGCACGACCAGACCTGTGAATGAATGCGACATGGCATTCATGTGACGAGAGAAAAAGAGCATTTCTTCACGTAGGTAGGTGCAGCCGCACCTTGGGGGGAGAATTGCTCCAGTCGCTCCTTCGACTGACGGACAAGACGCACACGTGGGGAGGTAGCTGTTTCTTACTTTATCGTCAGTCACTCCCCCTGCACCTAGTTGTCACCTGTTGGAGTATGCTTCCGAAAAGCAGTTGGTGTTTGATGCCCAGCTTCTGGCACCCATGCAGGATGTTGGAGAGCCCCATAGTGCTGTATCTGATCAACGCACGCGGACAACAGACAGGACTCATGAGCTCGTTGTCCTGTCTGTCCTGTGCTGCATTGCAATATGTCTCTCTCACTTGTTTCTGTATTCCAGCAGGTAGTGTGCGATGAATCGCAGGAAGAAGTGGAACCTCTTGCCAGCCTTGGCTGACACACAGCAAAGAAGCATCCATCGGTCTTGTCCAACCAGCCCGTCGTGTCCATTGCTGCTCACCGTATGCGTGTATTATCATGGACAGTGTCTGTCCATCAGGGGTGTCTTCGGCGCCCTGCCGAGACTTCATCGCCTGTGCACACACAGAGGTGGGGGGCCGTGTGGAGTCCTGCTCTTGCCTCCTTTGCCCACCTTCCTCATGAGTTTTGTGAGTGACAAGAAGACTCGCAAGTCATGCATGCCCAACTTGGCAAACGCATTCGCTGCCCCACACACGAGACGATACTCAAAGTGAGATGGAACAGTTGACAAACCGCAAATCAGCTCCCTTGCTTCCCTTTCTCTACCCAGTTCAGCGGTGTCCCTCATCGTGAATCGGTTCTGGGGCACCTCCAACGCTACACACGACAATGGTCCATCGCATTTCGTGGCCACATGTGAGTTCTATCACTTACCCACAGTGCCACGCCATATCGTCTCATCTGCAGAGAGAGGAAGAACACAAAAGCGGATGCCTTAGTCCAGCAAGCACAAGATCAGATCAGGATGGGGGCGTGGCGTGCTACCTGCAATGGCTGCGAACAGGGGCTTGTTTGCGTACTCCAGCTTGGCATACGCATTTGCCAAATTGGCCACCTCCCTGGATGGGCAAACAGAAAAGGTTATGTTACGTACACCGCTGTGAGCTGCGTGCATTTCTTACTGTGCTTTGAATCTGTCCATGACGCGTATGGACATCTTGGCGATGCGATCAAACAACACCTACAACAACACACGCAACCAACATGCATGCCGGACATGATTGATGGCGGCGCTCGCTTCTTCGTCTTGCAGCCCACATCATTCTTGATGCCCGCCTTCGCGAAGGCGTTGGCCACATTGGACAGCTGCTGCGGGCTGAAGTGACGGACCTTCACTGACACCTATAGCGACAAACACGCACGATGGATGCACGCTGATTGCACTCCTCATGTGCACAGCGATGCTCGCACCGTACCCTCGGCGCGATCTCATCGAACACGTGTGGGTCGGTGTATTCCAGTTTGGCGAATGCATTGACGATGTTTGACATGTTCTGAGGGCTCAACTCGTCGGCACGAGCCACCACCTGGTCAGCAACAGACCTAAATGAATGACACAATACATTGACACGGGTGAATGTACAGCATAGATAGATTTTGCCAAGGGCTGTGTCGTGACTGACGGGCGTACCTGAGCAGCATCAGCCGGCGTATCTGCATCCGCGCGTAGGCGTTGATCGTCAGAGCCAATTGCTGAGGACACACACCACACCCGACCCGGTGCAAGGAACGTGCATTGGATACGGATGGAAGGCAAATATCCTTCTGGCTCACCAGCGCTGAGAACTTGTCCAGCTGATAGGACGCGTGGTGGGCGCACACGTCAAACAGCTGCAATCAAGAAGGGACACAGAACCGCCCTTCTTGGTCGACGCTGCTTTTCTTCTTCTCCTTTTGCTAACCTTTTCGTGCCTCAGCCCCAACTGAGCGTACGCGTTGAGGATCACCTGCAGGAGCCTCCAATATAATGCCGTGACATAGACGAAGGCCCATTCCCACTCACTCACTCACTCACTCACCGCAAAGTCAGCTGGTTCGAACTGTTTGACGACTCGCGGGACGTAGTCACCGACCTTCTTGAGCAGCGCCTGGTAGAAATCAGAGCTGATGGGGATGTGCAGCCGGACAAACGTTGCCACAATCTCGCGAAGCTGCTTGGGAGTCGCCTCGTGGAGATCCTGGACAGCGATAAGGACAGACAGACGGTACGTACACAGGAGCGGTTTCATGCATCGGTGCGCTCACCTTTTCTGCCTTTTCCATCATTTTTAGGATGCTCCATGTGGGCCGCCACTGCATCTCCTGGAGGCAGAACAGAATCCTGGCTGCACAATCATGATGGACACACCAGGAACGAATAAGTCCGAGCTCATTGTCCGGCATGCCGTGATGTGATGTGGTGTAGCCGTGCACTACCTATTTGGTCCAGCGACAACGAATGGACGACCTCGCGGAGCCGCCGATTGAGGGCAGTGCCAGTGGCCAAGTCGTGACGCTTCGCACTGACACGGACAGATACCCACTCATTCACAGAAGGTCGCCGTGTGCACGTGTGCGTCGGCTACGAAGCGAGGGAGCGATAGACTCTCCTGAGGTCGTCGGGCAGGAGCTGCGGTGCGAGTTGCCGTGTGCGGTCGAGCAGACACTCCCAGTAGTCATCATCCACGCCGCCAGTCTGGTCCGCAGCTGACAAGAGATCACACACGCGCATGAATGAGTCAACAAACTGCTGAGCTTTTGTCTGTCGAAGACTTGCCCACCTTTGAGTGCGGCAATGACCTGCGGCCGAGTGAGCGAGTTGATCTCGCGTATCGGAGGCAGATCCTGAGTGAAAAGAAAAAAACAGGCAAAGCAATCGGGATCTTTGCTTCACTCATGTGTCAGTCATTTCTTACAGGGTGCAGCCTCTGCGGCTGTGATGGCGCCACTTCCATCGGGATGACAGTCACGCGGGCCAACGACGGACGGCAGGTGTGGAGGCCACGATGCTGCGTGACGAAGGGATGAGTGAGAGCGGATGAAGCATCGCAGATCGTTGCAGATCTTCGCCTCATTTGCCTGCTCCATTGCGCAGGCGGCAGGGCCATGAACTTGGGAAAAGTGAAAACAGTCGTATGTAGGGTAGGGGTTTCTTACCCTACACCCAAACCCTGCCAGATTGACTCGCATGCACAACTGTACCTTCACTCAACTCAAACACATTTGACGTCACAATTGCACACAGTCTGTCTGCCTTGCAGACAGTGACCATCCAGTGTACGTCTGTCTGTGCACAGAGCAAGATGCACCCGTGCAACCCTGCCCATCCATCCTCACTGCTTATGCATCATCGGGAACCCGCTCAGCTTGTCCAGCACTCTCTGCCTCATCCCCTCCAGCTGGCTGGCGTAGGGCTCTTGGTCCATTGCCGCCACGAAGTCCACCAGCTTCATGCCCTGCCTCTCGCCCTGAATCTCGCACGCCAGCTGCACCGCCTCGTCAAGGAGCGTGGCTATCCACCGGAAGTCATCCTCCCTTAGACCTCGTGTTGTCAATGCAGGCGTGCCGAGCCGCAAGCCACGGGGGGCGACCGCATTGCGGTCACCGGGGATGGTGTTCCGGTTGGCCGTCACATGCATACGCTCCAGGAGCTTCTCGAGTTTGCTGCCAGTAAGGTTGAGAGGGCGCAGATCCCACAGAACGATGTGGTTATCGGTGCCGTTGGAAGACAGGGTGTAGCCGTAGTCCAGCAGAGAAGACGCCAGCGCTTTCGCATTTGCCTTGACGGCCTTGGCGTAGTTTCTGAATGCCTCACTGTTGGCCTCTTTGAGTGCCACAGCCAGAGCACCGATGTTGTTGTTGTGCGGGCCGCCTTGCAGCGCCGGAAAGACCGCATTGTCGATGGCGTCCTTGAGGTGAGAGCGGTAGAAGATGATGCCCGACCGAGGGCCCCTCAAAGACTTGTGTGTCGTGGACGTGACGACATCGCAGTGCTCGAAGGGGCTCTTGGCTTCGCCGGCAGCCACCAGACCACTGATGTGCGCCATGTCGGCCATCAGGTATGCCCCACACGAATCGGCAATTCGTCGCATCCGACCATAGTCCCAGTCTCGCGGATACGCACTCGCACCGGCAATCAGCAAGCGGGGGCGGAAGACCAGCGCCAGCCTCTCCAGGTCGTCATAGTCAATGAGGCCAGTTTGTGGGTCGACGCGATAGGGCATGCTCTCGAAGTAGATAGACGTGGCCGACACGCGTCGCTTTGGGGTGGCGTAGCCGTGTGAGAGGTGGCCGCCGTCGGGTAGGTCAAGACCCATGATGCGATCATGCGGACGCAGCAGGGCAGTATAGACAGCGAAGTTGGCCGGGCTGCCCGAATACGGCTGCACGTTGACGCCCCACTGCGGTTCCTCGCCCTCCCCTGCCGGCAGCAGACCAAACAGCTCCAGCGCCCGCCTCTCGCAGAGCCTCTCCAGTGTGTCGATGTGCTGATTGCCGCCGTAGAAGCGAGCACCAGGGCGCCCCTCAGAGTACTTGTTCGTCAACACAGACCCGAGAGCCTCCAGCACAGCAGGTGAAACGAAGTTCTCGCTTGCTATAAGCTCGAGCGACCCGGCCTGCCTCCGTTCCTCCGCTGCCAAGATCTCTGCCATTTCGGGATCTTGTGTGCTGATTGCCGGCGCATGGCTGAGAGTGGCAGGCTCCGATGGCTGGACCAGGGAAGCCGCCGGTGCACTTGCATGAAGCCGACTCCGTCGGGGTCTTTGGAAGAGCAATGGGGGAAACAAGGATGGATGAAAGAGCCGCAGATCAGCTCCTCTGTTGCTTTGCGGTCCCTCAGTGGCGGCATGGCTGCGTCGTGAGCCATGGGTGCATCTTGCTTTCACGAGCCGCGGAAGAGTCGGCCTGTGATGGACGGATGGCGAACCATTCGGTGTGGCCGCAAAGGCAAAAGCACAAACGGGAAGGGAGGAGAAAGGCATGACTTTCCCACCTGGTTTCCCACTGCAGGGTTTGTGGTTGTGTAGGGTTTAGACCCCGCAGATCGCTTGCCCTCCCGGAGTGAAGCTTTCAAACATCGTTGTGGATCTCTGGTAGGCGGGGAAGAGGTAAAGATGCAGATCTGGCCAAAAGCAACGGTTGCATGTGCGCTTCTGCCTGTCCTTGCAGGTAGCACTGTTGTTGTTTCATAGCTTCGGAGGAGTCAGCAGCCAGCTGCCGACGGACTGACGAGCCCTTGCAGTAGATCAGGTGCGCAGGAGTAGGTTCCTCGACGTGACTGCCTCATCGGAGCGTCACGGGGTTCGTCAGTGCCCATTTCTCAGGTACAGCAGCGCAGCACAATGCGCCACACCGAGTGCGATGACAACACTCTGTATTCGTGGCTCTGCTGTGTGCAGATTTTGAGGATCATGTCCGCTTCATCACCAGCCGGACAGCAACCACAGCAACCACAGCAGCCACAGCAGCAGCCGTATGTGATAGAGAATGTGAAGGTCCGCTTCCCGCCCGGCACCAATGCGGCCACCAAGCGGCTCGTCCAGGGCATCCTGCGACGCACAATCACACCTGACGGCATCCAGCGGCTCATTCGCAAGGGGGCCGACCCACGAGTGTGCATTGACCTCATCACCACCTGGACCTCTGGTCACGAGCGCTACGAGCGTTGGCTGCGAGTGTGTCTGCTGTCATTGGCCATCGACGACTGGAGCACTCCCACGGCGCTCGAAGCCCCCCTAGGCATCGGGTTGCCGGGCACGGACGCTGGACGGCTGGTGCTGCCGCTGTGGCCAACCTGACGGCCGTCAAGATCCTCGTGGCCAGCGGGGCGGATCTGAGAGGGCGGAAGCTGGCCTTCCTGCGACGGGGGGTGCGTTCCAGCGAACAGTACGAGGCGGCCATGATGGGCATCTACACCTACCTCGTCAAGCTCGACCCCTCCCTCGCCAACGAGGCAATTGTTGGCAGCAATGTCATCCATCGTGCAGCCATGGTTGGCCGCACCTACTCGGAGGGCTTCATCCACGGCTACCTGCAGCTGATGATGGACAACGGCGCCAGCATCGACGAGTCGGCGGTCCTGCCGGAGGCGGCACGCAACTCGTCCTATCACGTGATCGAGTGGCTGTGTCAGCATCTCAGCCCCGCACAGATCAAAACAGCCACAGATCCATGGCCCTTTCGCTTCCACCGGACGCCTTTGGGCATCGCTGCCAGGAGGGTCGCCGAGTTGCGCAGCCAAGATGATGGTGAGGAGGATCCCTTAGTGCCGCGTGATGCGACGGTCAGCGGGATGCAGCGGGCCATCCGCACACTCCTGACATCGGGGGCAGCCATCGCCATGGTGCGGACTCCACAGCAGCTGCCACCCGACGCCAGGCAGCAAGCTCGAGATGCGCACAGTGTGGTGTTGGCCGAGTACCTCACCGTCCTCAACGACAAGCTGCCCAAGGCCGTCATGGACGGCGTCAACGGCGCCCTCAATCCCCAGCGAGACGCCGCCAGCGTGCTGACGCGCCTGCTGCCCCTCGCCCGCCCCGCCCCACCCACCACCGCCACTGACACATCCACTGCTGCTGCAGCACATGCCCCCGCTGCCCCCTCCCCATTTGCCCTCACGGATGCGACGGCCCAGGTGGCCTGGAAGATCGGTGCCTTCCTCCACGAGCCAGAGGCCGTTGACACCATCACCCTCGGGCAGCCCGTGGTGGCCCACCGCATCAAGAGGGCCATGCAGCGCTTCGTCAAGTGCGCGGCGACCAAGACGGCCGACAATGAGGAGGTCATCGGCGGCATGGCCAATGTGGGCGGCCGGGTGGTGCGGGTGCCCCTCCAGTGCTTCGCCGTCAGAGAGGGGCCGACTGTGCGGCGGGTGGGTCTGCGTGAGGTGGTGCATCGGGCTCGGCTGGACGAGGCGGCCCGATATGGGCTGACTGGTGTGGTCAAGGGCTTCAACAGCCACCTGGGCAACGACGACTGTCAGTTCGGTTGGGGTCAGCTGGGGTGGGTCAACGACATCGGCCTCTTCCAGCCGCTGGGCATCAACTAGCCGGCCGAGGACCCCACGACGACCCAGCAGGGAGGGCGCGCGGGTGGGAGGGGGAGACAGGATGACTAGACAGGGGCAGTGGTTGTCAAGTGCTGCGTAGGTGTGATGACGCGAGATGGTGCTGCCTTAGTCTGTCTGGCTAGTTGGGTGTGTTAGCGCGGCTATGGGATGGGTCAGCGATGTGTGCAGATACCGCTCAACTGACATTTGCCTGTCAGTCGGCCGCCGACTGGTGTGAAAGCATTCGTATGTCTGTGTGCGTGCGCGCGCGTGTGTGCGTGTGTGTGTGATTTGATTAGTCGCATTGGACGCACCGGCCACGATGGTTGAATCATTTGTCCACACGGCGCCGTGTCAGCCGTCCGTCCACACACAGACAAACACGTCTCGCCATTCATCAATCATGCAATGCACACACATGGATTGACCAAACAAAACGCAGCATGGCAACAGCAAAAACTCAAATATCTCGCGCGTTTGGCCCTCTTGGCCAAACACCCCTCCCTCCACCGATTCGTCCATTCCACCGGCGACCTACACTTGCTTGAGCGCCGTCTGAAAGTCCTCGATGAGGTCCTCGATGCCTTCCAATCCGACCGAGACCCTGATGAGCGACTCCGACACACCCGCTCGCTGACGCTCCTCAGCAGACAGGCCTGCATATGACACACGCACATAAGACAGAGGGCGCGAGAACTTCCTTCCTCCCGGCTTTCACCCCCTCACCGCACCGGCATGCGAAGATCGTGCAGGGATGGTCACAAGTGTCTCGACAGACCCCAGAGACGGCGCCATCGTCGCCACTTGCAACGCGTAAACGAATCTCCCAGCTGCTTCGAGGGATGCGCTGGCCAGCTCGAACGACAGCATGCCGCCGCACCCTACGGATGACCCATGGCCGTCTGTGCCATTGGCCGTGCCGTCGGTGACCTTGCCGTGATGACTTTGGTGCGGAGTGAAGAGCGACAGGGCCCTGGCGTGGTCCTTGTGGCTCTCGAGGCCTGCACACACAGATGAGGGAGCGATAGAGGAGGCATGGTTGTGTGTGGGTGTGGCCGACCTGGATAGTTGACTCTCGCAACGGATTGATGGCTCTCGAGGAACTGTGCGAGTCGGAGGGCGTTGTCATTGTGCTGCTGGATGCGGAGTGGGAGGGTCTTGAGGCCTCGGTCGAGAAGGAAGCACGAGTTGGGGTCAAGGCACGGCCCGAGGTGTGTCGCCATGGTCTGTATCTTCTCCATCAGAGACTTGTCGCGCACCACAACCACACCTGCACGGCACGCAGCAGTAAGTAAGATAGAGAAAAGGAAATGACGATCGCCCTTCCCTCCATCCATCCCACATGCCATCGATGTGATTGGTGTACCTGCACAGATGTCGGAATGGCCGTTCAAGTATTTGGTGCCCGAGTGGAGCACCACGTCGATTCCGCAGTCCAGCGGGCGGAAGTTGTAGGGCGTGGCGAAGGTGTTGTCGATCATGGTGATGATGCGTGTGCCGTGCCGCTCGCCGAACAGCTTTGCCGCCTCGATGATGACCGGCATGTTGGGGATGCGCGTGAGGGGGTTGGCGATCGACTCGACGTAGATCACCCGGGTGGAGGGCCGCAGCAGCGACAGCACCTCATCGATACTGACGGACGGCAAGGAGGGGGAAGCGAGCAGTGGCCTGTCAATTCGCGAGCAGCTTGATTGCGTGTGTACCCACCTCTGGACGTCGAAGCTGTTGAAGAAGGTGACGTCCATGCCAAACCTGGTCAAGTCGTGAGTGGCGAAAACAGTTGATGCGCCATAGCAAGGGTCCTGCATCAGGATGTGATCCCCCGACGAGCACAAAGCCAGCAGCGACGTCGTAATGGCCGCCATACCTGAGGCAGACAGCACCACATACACTTCAGTGAGTGCCGGTCGTATCTTCCATACCCGAGCTGAGGACCAAGGCCGTTCCATTCTCCAGCTGGCCGATCTTGGCATCCAGGTGCTCGTGTGTGGGGCTGTTGTTGAGCCGCAGGTACTTGATGTCCTCGTATCTCTGATCCAGCGACGGTTGCTCATAAGTGGCGCTGGAAGCAGACAGACCCACACGATGAATGATCTGTGCAGATCTATGCATGGGTGTCTTGCTGCAGCCGTGTGCTCACCTCTGGAAGATGGGACAGACCATGGAGTGGTTCACGCGAGGCTTGGAGCCGGCATGGATGCTCTTGGTGGCAAAACTCCCTTCCGAATCCATTAGCTGAGGCGACGATTGCCGAAATACCTGTTGAGAAACCAAATAGAGAAAATTCTACAGCGTAGAGTGCGCCCAGGGGGAGATCTGCAAGCTCAAGCCCAAGCTCGCACATCTGCGAGCTTCCTTCCCTTGGAGGGCTTGGGAGTGATCTGAGGACTTGTGGAGCACTCTGAGGACCATCCCTGACATTAGAGCAAGAAAAGTGGTCACATCTATCCCCTTCTGTCGTGCCTGCCGGCAATGGCGTCACCAAGCGATGGTCCCACTCCTATGGAGGCAGAGGCGCCGCCCTCAACGGCGTCAGCGACCAAGAAAACACCAGAGGACCGAGCCATCAAGAGAGTCAAGAAAGACATCCAGAAGAAGACCAAGCCGGCTGGAGCAGAGAGGGCCAAGATCGGCCGGCCACGCAGCGGCAGAGTCTGGAAGCACGACCACGCTGAGGTGCGGCAGCGGGCGAGCAAGAAGATGGCGGCCAACTTTGCGCATCGGCAGCAGTCCTATGAGGACCGGCGGGCGGCCAAGCGCAAGAAGGACGACATGAAGGCGTTCGAGCGGGAGATGAAGCAGCAGCGGGCCGACAGGCGGAAGAAGGTGGCGGAGAAGCGCAAGGAGAAGGAGAAGCGCAAGGCCGAGAATGAGGTCAAGGCGCTGGGCAAGGGCGCGGTGCAGGTCATCAAGGACAGCAGCAAGATCCGCAAGTGGCACAAGAAAGCCAAGCAGGTGAGCGAGCAGGGAGAGAGAGATAAGTGGAAAGACGGACGGCATGTGGGCATCACATCAGAGTGTGTGTTGTGTGTGTGTGTGTGTGTGTGTGTGTGCGCAGAAGCTGATCAAGATGAGCCCCGAGATGATCCAGAAGGTCTACAAGGCCAAGATCTGAGTCCGCCTAGTCCGCCTCTTTCTCGGTGTGCTCCCCCCCTGATCCCCAGTGTTGACTGACTTCCTTTCTTCCGCTGGCATGCTCTGTGGTCGAGGAGTGCGTAGCATGCATAGATTGTCGATAAAGCCCAGGCAGACTGGATGTGCGCGACCATGTTTGTATCTCGTGTTCGTTGCCGTGCTTCTCTGATTGTGCTTGCACATGGAGGATCGGCTCGGCCGCTGGCGTGTTGCGTCTGCGTGTCTGCATGGCTTGCTTCCCTCACGAGCAGCACAGACTTTACACTCTCGAGGACCATGTCAACTCAAGGACCCGTAATGTAAACCGACACTCACGTACGAGTCCGCACAACACACACCTACTTGGGATGCATCTCTCTCTCTCGCTATGCTATGCACATCATATGTGAATGAGGCACCTACCCCACCCACTATAGCTACACATTCAGGAGTATAGATACTCCTGCTCGCGTGCCTTGCGGCTCTCGGCGAGGGCCTTCTTGCGTGCGTCCATGTCCCTCTTGGTCAGCAGCTTGCTCGTGTAGGCCTTGACCACCACCGTCTCCTGCACCGAGTTGCCGGCCTCGTCCTTCTCCTCACGCAACACAACCGTGATGTCAGTCGGCTGACATATACACACAGGGAGGGAGAGGCAGGGACGGACGCCGGGGTGTTGGTGTGTTGCACGCACGTTGCTCTCTCTTGGCCTCTTACTCGTGTGTTGTCCATGATGAATGAGTCGAGTTTGGTGTGCGGCGGAAGGACGGGCGACAGGTACCCATGCAGCTCGCGCCGCGTCCACACCGACTTGACGTCTATCATCGCCTGAAGACGAGCGCACATCACACACACAGACACACAGACAGACAGGGAGGGACTAATGAATGAACCAATCAATTGCCTGTACACATTCCCCCTCCCTCATCGCATCGTCCCGCCCTCTCTTGGCGAGCCAATCATACCTACCTGGAGTCGCTGTTTGGGGTCGATGGCTAGGGCTTTCTCGTCCATGTAGACCACCACCGGCAGCTGCTGCTCCTCGAACAGCAGGTAATACTGCCCGCTCAGCAGATCGATCGGCAGTCCCTCCCAATCCGCTCCATCACGCTCTATGCTACCGCTACTGCGACCCTGACTCCACCCCGACGGGCTCGTCGCCACCCCACCTCCCCCTCCACGCGAAGCACCCTCCTGCTGCTGCTCGTTGGTCCACGGCCCCATCTTCTGCCTCCAACGCTGCTTGAAGGCCTCTGTGGTCAGGTGCTCCTCGCCTGACTTCTTGTTGGTGTAGAGGACGTTCAGGCCGATGAAGCGCTGCACCTGGGTGCGGTCGAGGGCCAGTGTGGGGTTGCTGGAGGGGGGCTGGAGGAGGGGGGGAGGGATCAGGTAGGGCGTCAGGATCTTGTGCACGACCTCCGGCGATGTGTCAAACTGACCTGCACAGGGAAAGGAAAGCACAAGCACGTGGCGCATTCATATTTGTGCTGTCGTATGCTAGTGTGCGGCCGGGTACCCTTGTCGGCCCCTTGTGTGTCGTCATCGGTGTCTTTGAGGGCGTCACACAGGTCGTGAAGAGGGATGGCATCGGCCGGGAACCGCCCCGCGGTCACATGGCTGAGTGTCAGGTCGATGGTGCTGTACACGTGGTCCTCATCGATGACACGCCACTCACCCTCGATCTCCACCAAGTTGTTCTGCGCCGCCAGGTAGGCCTCCAGCTGACTCCGCGACGCCTGCACGTCATACGCCAGCGCTGCCGTCGTGCTGCGCCGTCGGAGACGAGCACGGCCCTCCTGGTCACCCTCGTCCAGCTGCTGCCCCTGCAACTTGATCTGCTGCAGCACCCTTCCTACTTGCGTCACGCGAGGGACCGTCGGGATGGGCGAGATCTCCGACAGGCACTTCGACATGATGATCAGGCCCCGCTCCTCCACGCCACCATCACCATCGCCCTTCTGCGCCTCCTCAGCCCCTGCAGCTGCAGCCGCGGCGCCCTGAGGCGGGTCTACGTCCATCGGGGTGGTGCCGCTGGCCATGGGGAGTGTCTCAGTGCAGTCGGCCTGGGGCACGGTGGGAGGGATCGGGCCGGGGGGTGGCTCACAGGGGACGGCGAGGAATTTGGGGTTGGAGGTCTCGTTGATGCGCAGCTCGTAGGTCTTGTCGTCAGTGCAGAGGACGGCATCGCCATCAGCCGCAGGGTCGCCCTTGATGAAGACGTCCCTGCCCTCCTCGAGGCTCCTCTGGATGTCGTCTGTCAGCTCCAGCAGCACCAGCTCGTGGCTCGTCTGGCCGAACGCCGGCGAGAAGGACACGTGGTAGGAGTGGGGGGGATGCGCCATTGGCCCTCCCTGAGAGATCTGCATACGACAGAGCCATTCGTCCATCATTGTCCCATATTGAAGCTGCATTCGGTCACCTACCAGAGATCTATACGGCTGCAACGTGGGTCGTTGGACGTGGCAGACGATGGCTCTTTCCCGTCAGCAGCCTCGCCAAACAAGCTCGCACCGATGCGATCGGCCAGAACCATCGTTTGTACGGCAGGAAGAGAAGAAGGAGCTATGATGGACAAGGCTGGTGCGGCGCAGGATCAGCCCACCGTGGAGGGGAAGGCGACTGGTGCTGTGGATCCCGCTGAGGAAGGTACTCACACCGCATGGATGGATGGATGGATGGATCCTACCTCTGTGTGTGGCAAAGGGTCCATCTCGGGCAAGTTCGAGAACCTGGCCATCGCTGGTGAGTGTGTGCAGTGGCGAAGGCGGCGGGAATGCTGAAATGGCTGGCGCTGCGTTGTTTTTAGGTGCGAATCTGTCGATGGGCGCCCTCGAGTCGTCGCAAGGCCAGCCCTCCTCCTCGTCAGCCAACGGGTGGGCATCCACACACATAAACACATGGAATGCACAGAGACATGATGATGATACGTCGACATTCCTTCCGCAGGGATGTGCGTTTCTTCGGAGTTGGTATCCTCACTCACACCGGCGACGTCATCCAGGCAGGGGAAAGGAGAGGACGTGATAGCCACTTCCATCTGTGTGTCTGCCCAGGGTTGTCTCATCGCCACGGCGTCGGCCATCAAGTTCGTCACACTGGGCGAGGAGGGCGAGGAGAGTGAGCTGACACAAACGCGCCCCACATAACTCATCTACTTCATGTTCGTCCTCTCTTCTTCTGTTTGTCAGTTTTGCTGCTCAACTTCGACTACGCAGGCATCGAAACACTCACGCTAGCTCACACGTAAGTGTGTTCAAGGGTAATGCAGCTCTCACACTTTCTGTGCGTGCCGTTCAGGTCGATACTCATTGACACGCATGGCGGCACCCAGGAGACATTCTCGTTCGATCAAGCGGTGAGCTTGGAAAGAGACACGGGGAGAGTGTGGAGCGTGCCTGAATGTGTACGTATGGCCCTCTCATGTTGTCAGGCCACGGCGTTGGACGTGGCGGATGTCATCCAGTCCAAGAGCACAGAGGCCAAAGAAAACATCATCTTCATGGTGCGTTAGCCAACACACAGCGCCCCAGAAAATTCACTGCAGTCGTGTCGTGTCGTGCGTGTGCAGGGACTTCCCATGGAGAAGGACAAGGGTGATGGATGGATCGAATGGAATGGCACACCTGTCACTCTCGTCCAACTACACTTTTCTGTCTGTCTGTCTGTCTGTAGGTGTGTCTCAGTTGTCGGCTGAGCAGCGTGCTCCATGGGAGGACGGTAAGGAGGAAGATACGAACACCTGCCCTCACGTGTTGACCCACACATTGATGCATTGCGTTTGCAGCCAAGGTGTCTGAGGAGTCTCAAGGTCGCCAGTGGACCAGCGGTGATACATATATATACCCATTGATATACACACGGATAGAGAGAGGAAGCGAGGGAAGGAAGAAGGTCCTGCCTCTGTCTGTTCTGTGTGTGCTGTGCAGGGTCGCGTTTCGCTGGCCTGGCCCCGCTGCCCGCCGCCTCGGTGCAGCAGGAGCAGCAGGTGCAGCTTCAGGGGGAGGAGGAGTCGACGCAGCCGGTGGAGGGCTGCCTACATTTCATAATTGGCAGAGACATCAATTCAGATGCGCATACATGTTCGTGCGATCCGATCCCTGCCTACATTTTGTATTTTGATGAAGGGTCTTCTCTCGCCTGCACCAGAATCCGAGGGAATGCTTGACCTTGTCAGCGACATTGCTGTGAGACTTGTCCACTCATCGGTTGGTCTCAACCCCATTCATTCACATCACATGAGTGAATGAGTTTGTCTGTACACAACCGGCACTAGTGTCTCGGGCCCTGCCTGTCCACCTCTATGTACACGTCACGCCCATCTGCCTCTCGAAGGCATCCCACACCTCTAGAGCAGGCCGCAGAGCCAGCGCCATGCACTCCACAGACACACACCGACCGCCCCTATGTCTTTTCTGCTCGTCGCTGCCATCCCCTGGCACGCTGGTCGTCAGCTCCATCACAGCGGAGTCTTCTTTCAGCGCACCAAGGTCTGCCCCTGAATGATCAGGCTCTGGTACGGCGATGGCAACACTGCATCCAGACATGCATACAACAAAAGCCAAGCCAAGTGCATTCAGATGCTCGTGCCCTCCATCTGTCTGGTCTCTCACCTGTTCATGCCGACCACGCGCAGCCTCACTGCCGCAGGGCGCTTGTTCTCGACTGCTGCGGTCTCGTCACCAGCCCCATCCCCCCACACCACCCGTGGTGCAGGCGCCTCAGCATCGGCACCACCATCGACCTCGCCAGCATCATGGCCGTCAACCACTACCGAAGACACCTTTGCCGACCTCTTGCGTGGCCTCCTTCGCTGCGCCTTCTTGGCCTTCGCCGACGGCACGACGGACAGCCAGCTCGACCACGATGGCCGCCTCTTGGCTTGCTTGGTGCGATCGCCAGCTTTCTCCTGGCCCTGTGATTGGACGGTGGCTGCCGAAGGTGCCTCCTTTGCTGTTGCTGCTGGCTGAAGGACGGCATGAGTGGTCCAGGGGCCATCACCAGTCCGCTCAGCCATCAAGGCCTCTGTCCACTGCTGTGTCAGGCCAGGCGGTACAGGTGACAAGTCCGCCGAGTCCGACCGCCTCACCCAAACATGCCGCTCCTCTTCTCTCGTCTCGGGCACCTTCTCTTTCGCCTCCCGCCGCCGACGACAGCCACATACGGACAATGGAAGGCAGCAGAGGCAGCGAAGGGGGGATCTCCGTGATGTTGGCGGGACGGATGGGGCGGTTGGGAGGCTGGATGGGGGAAGGGCAAAGAGGAGCATCGAGGGAAGAGGGGACGTCGGCGGCTGGGTAAGCAATGCCGCTTGCCGATGCATCCAGGAGAGGAACACATTCCGACTCTGCCAATGACGTGATAGACAGACAGATGGATGTACATGTTGACTCCCCACCCCTCCTCCACTCACCTGCCTGACAACATGCTCCATCACATGGTCCTTCGGGGGAGCCCCACGCCACCGCAATGCCACAGGCTGTCCCCTCTCGCTTTCACCCCCGTCCTGCCCTCCATCCAGATGCTTCACCCTCCCGTACTGCTGCACATACGCCCTGCTGATGGCGAGAGCCACTGACAGGGGGAAGGTCGGATGGGCGAAGATGAGGACGACGAGGGGAGATGAGTCCTCTGTTGGGGTGGTGGTGGTCGCCGCTGTGTGGGGCGGATCGGGTGAGTGGGTGATGTCGAGGCCGACGATGTTCACCGTGACCGTCGAAGATAGCTGAAGTGACGACACACCTGAGAGCAAAGACGAAGATGGGTTGCAACGTCACTTCGGTATGGATCTTCCTTCTCTCGGCTTACCAGAGTGGATGAGAAGCTGCAGCCGTCCCGATAGCCTCAAAGCAAACATGAAAGGGTCCTCGCCGGCGGCATCTGCATCATCACCCTCTCGTGCACATTCCTCCGACTTGCCCGCCATGGGCAGCCCGAATCTTGGCGTGACGGCACATTGGGAGAGCAGGCGCGATGAAGACCGCTCCACAACCATGAGGCCATGAAACACCATCGCTGGAACTCCGCACCTCTCGCGATGAATTCATGCACCATATGCGGGTGCAATGGAGGCTGAAATCTTCTTCTTGTGCGTCGACTGAGCTGTTCACGCCGCTTGAACGCTGAGAACCTGGGAGTGTTTTTCCCCCTCGCGATCCGAAATATGCGAGCTTATGTGAGGCGCGCTGAAGATCTGCCACAACAACACATCCCTCTTCCACACGCAGGACAACACATCGCTCGACGTGTCAAGAGACTTTGATCGCTGTTGAGTAGCTCTGTGTCGGCGCCTGGGGCTGCCAGCGGACTACAGGATGGCAGACGTCGGGTCTGTGGACGCCGTCGTCATCGGCAGCACTGTGACTGCGCTTACTTTGGCGTGCGATCTGCAACGGAGAGGGGTGGATTTCGTCCTTGTTGAGCACAGCAGCGCATCGAGTGCAGCTCATATGGGCGCCAGGGAGAGCCAGCTACTCGCTGACAGTGGTGATGCCGAAGGGTATGGAGACGTCATACTGCAGCCGAGGAGCCTGGAGATGTTTGAAGGTCAGCGGAGCAAACGAGGGAGACGCTCAGTCACATGCTGGCACATGACATGCGGCATATAATTAATGGTTGTGTTTGCTGGCGTGTTGTGTGTATGCAGATCTGGATGTCAGCAGCGAGATCATGCGCAGGGGCAGAGTGCAGACAGGAGAGAGGGTCTATCTGTACGGCGACCTCTGCGTCGACTGGCTATACGACTCTTCCGTCATCAAGCAGTCGTCGATCTTCTCCTTGCCTGTCACACTCGAGCAGGTACCCATATCGAGATGTCTGTGTCATTCATGCCCGTACCATTGCCTTGTTTCTTCGTTGGTTGTCAGCGCGATCTCAAGTCCATCCTGCGGGAGCGCCTCGACTCGAGTCGGATCATCGCCGACGACTTCGTGTGCGACATCACGGTGGCCAATGACGGCAGCAACGAGATTCTCGTGACGCTGCTGAACGAGGGCCATAGCATCCGATGCAAGTATTGTGTGGGCGCTGACGGGTTCGACTCATTCGTAAGGGAAAGCGTCAAGTTCAAGTCCACTGCCACCCGGATGAGTGCGGGCTCCTTTATCACCGCTGACGTCAACCTGGTTGGTACTGACAAAACATGGCAAAGAAGGACGGCATGCGAGTTGTCTGTCTTGTGCGCAGCACTGGAGTTTAAACATTGATGATGCTAAGTACAATATGCTCCTGGGCGACGGTGTGGCCATGTGCGCTGTCGGCCTTGAGAAGGGCGTCACATCAGAAGAGGGCTCCAGGTGGCATCTGACTGTCCATCGGCCCGTCGACAAAGCCAGACAGGCACAGGCGCCCGTTCAGCTGCTACTGCCGCCCACAGACGACTCGGCCAGTACGACGACAGCGCCTCCAACGGACTGCCCGGTGGCCACCAACAGCAGGTCCATCAGCGAGGACATCAGCAGCCCCGCCAGCAGCAACCAGCGATGGTACCTGCACGCGCCGCCACTCCGCAGCCCATCGATCAGCACTCAGGGGACTGCGCTAACGGCGTTCTTGTCGCCCCAGCCGCCCAAGCGCAGTGATGTGGGTGACAAGGACGAGAAGGGCGAGGCGATTGAGGAGGGGGAGCTGGTTTTGCCGACGAGGGAAGAACTAGAATTCATGATCCAAAAGGTAGGTGGGTGGGGTCAGGATGGTCAGTCGGATAGAGTTCACCCGGCCACTATGTGGTGGTGCGTCCAGGCTGTTCCATCCAGCCGTTTGGTTCGCATCAACTCGATCAGCAGGAGCGAGATAGTGTCGCGATCGGTGACGTCATTTAGGCGGGGCAACGTCCTCGTGGCCGGCGGAGCTGCCGTCATGCACCCACCTCTGCTGCATCAGGTGCGTCTCAAGGACAAGCATGAGATGGATGGATGGATGGATGGATCCATGCCTGTCGTGTGTTGTTTATTTTCAGGGGCTGAACGACGCCATTCAAGACGCGTACAACCTCGGGTGAGTGAGAGAGGGATTCGTGGAGGAATGGACCTCCATTCACTCGTGTGGTCTGTCTGTTCTGTGGTTCAGGTGGAAGTTGGCTTTGGTTGTCAAGGGCTCTGCCCCCGACGCCCTCCTTGACACATATGACCAGGAGCGGAGAGCCGTCGGCGGTGAGTGCGCACCCAAGCCTTGACCTCTTCTGTCCGTCCGTCATCCCCACCGACCTCTATGCTTCCATCTGTCTGTCTGCATAGGCCACGCCCGTCTGATCACGACAACACCATGCCGGTCGATTGCGAGTGGGAGTAAATGGGTGCGCTGGGCGATCAAGGCCTTCTGCCCAACACTCATCGGCTTCAGCTCCGTCAACGAGGCCCTCACCTGCAAGGCGGCACAGATCAACATCAGCTACCCGGCCAACACGTCAGAGAGACTATTATGGCTTGCTGCAGAGAGTGAGAATGCGTTCAATGGCCTGTTGTCTCCTTGTTGTCGCTGCAGAGCGGTGTGTGGTCGTGTGTGGATGTCCGGGTCTCTGAGGCCTGGCCAACGAGCACCTGATGCCATGCTGGCCAAGATGGACGACGGCACCAACATGTCCTTCGTGAGACTGCATCAGGTGAGCGAACGAAACGGGACACAGACTACAAACGGTGTCCCTCCCCCACCGCCCGCCCGTCGTGTTGCTGTGCTGTGTGTCATCAGTTGCTGTCGGGCCCCCACCACACGCTGCTGGTGTGTGTGCGGCTGCCATTCGACCCGACGGCTGCCCACACTGGACCGCAGCGCATTTTGTCTCCCCGATCCGTCGAGTCATCCGGGGAGCTACCACCTTCACTCACTTCAGTCATCGACGCAGGTAGGTAAATGAAGGCAAGGAGGTCGTCAGTGCAATGCATGTATGCGCCCGCCCACTGTGTGTCGTTGCTTTGGTTTGTCAGGTGTGTTGGCCTCTATGCTCGAAGAGGCCACCACATTCGCATGTCATGCCATTCGCCCGTTCAACTCCATCACCTACGGCACCCATGTTCCCATCAGGGCCGTCTTTGTCCTGACAGCCGGCAAGGCGAGCATCATTCCAGTACTGCCCTTGCTCTCCCAGCGGTTCGCTTCTCTGCCTCCGCCAACACAGTATCCACCTGCAGCTACAGCTGCTCAGGTGGGCGAGCTGCCGGCGTTTGGCGAGTCGTGGTGCGAGGGTGGTGGTGGTGGCGTGCATGACGCGGCCTCTTCCAATGCCGACTGCGTGGCCTTCCTGACCGAGCTCATGGCGAGAAAGTGATGAGGACAGAGAGGGGGTGTGGTGTGCAGCGAGGGAAATGACTAACCACTGTTTTTCTTTTTGTGTGTGTTCTGTGTTGGTGTCTGTCGGTAGGCTGGACCGTGCCGTGGAAGATAACGAGCTGTTCGTCGGCTGGGACGCGGAGGGAGAGGTGAGCAGAAAAGGGACAATAATAAGATCGACACGGACAGACTATCGGCTGGCGGTTTAATCATCCAGGTCGTTAACCGTTTCAAGCTGTCCCTTCAAGAGGACCCCTCCCCCTCCCCATGGTCCAAGCTGATGGACCCCATCAGGATGCTCCACAATCCCGCCTCAGAGTGCGGCCAGGTGCCACTCAGAAAGCCGCAGCACAACTCTCCCCCACCAGCGGCCACGACCACCGGCGTAAGAGCAGAGGCGTCCATCGACTACACAGGTATCTATGCGGGCGGCGTGAGGGTGGGCACTGGACGCTGTGGGGCGTTCGCTCTCATCCGGCCGGACGGCTACTTGTCCAACCACGGTATACCTGGCACACGTGAAAAGATTTGCGAGTGTGGGTACCTCCTAGATGGTATCCATGCGTTTGTGTAGGCTATCTGGGTGACAGCGGTGCTCGCGATGAGCTGTTGGGTCGGTTGTCTGCGTGGGGCGGCGCTGAGAAGGAGCAAGGCTTGCAGAAGTAGACAGACGTGCATATGTCCTTACAGGGTGCAGGTAGGTGGATGGATGGATGGCATTGCATTCATGGCGGGGCTGTGTCGTGTCGTGGCTAATTAGCTAGCGCTCGAATGAGTATTTTCTGTGTTTCTCAAAGGGAAGTGAGGGATTAATTTGGGGGATGCATAAGGGCCGGCCGGGGCGGTCTGTGGGCTTGCTTGTGTGCTGCACGGGGCTCCCGAGTGCTGTGCTGTGCTGTGCAGTCGATCCAGAGGCGAGAATTGTGTATGTGTTTTTAAGGCTCCAGTCGGTTTTGTAGGGTGCAGTGTGTCGGTCAATGTAGTCTCATTCTAGTCTCCATCTAGTCTCATATTTCACACATGCATACCTACTAGCCGTTTTCTTGTGTCCCTCCCCCTGCCTGTCTTGCCTGAGCAGTGCGTGGCTGGTCTCTTGTCCTCTTCTCTCCCTCTCCCTCTCCCTCTCCCTCACCATGAGACTCCCTGTGTGTGTGTGTGTGTGTGCGTGTCGTTGGGGCTGACGCGGTTCGTGTACATGATGCATATGTGTGTGGCGTTCATACACCGATCGATAGACAGGGAGCGGCCCGGGCGGCCGTCTGCTCGTCTTTGTCTTTGTCTTTTGAGAGAGCAACGTATGGTGCGTGCCTGTGTCAGTCCCCGTGCCTGCCCTAAACGATTGGTGGGGTGCCTGTTGGTCGGTCATCGCACATGTGTCCCTTCATCCTCCCTGTTTCTCGCCAATTGCGGCGAGCATGTCGGTCGCGTTCATAATGCGTGACCAGAACAGGTAATAAGCGCTGCCACAGCAAGTACGATGTGAAGAGACCATCCGTTTACATATGGGAGAATGCAACCGGGCCTGAGACGTCCGATCAGGGTTTGCTGCTAGCCGTTTTTTCCTCTTCGCTTCCAAGCTCTTCAGCTGGAGACAATGAAGCAAGGCGCATCAGTGAGGTTGGTTGGGAGAGTAGAAGCGCTCACCGCGCCCATTGGCTTTACTCACTGATGCGCTGACTCTGACTGCCTCGTGAATGATGGTTGGGAGCGTGCTTGAGATCGGAAGAGCCGCCTCGAGATATGCTGGAGCACACGCAACGTGACGGCAAATGACGTCTTGACGTGTCCGAGCAGAACCGCAACGGAATCAGCTACGGAAAAAAAAGAGCGAACGGCAAGAAAAAACCGTCGAGAATGTGAGACAAACAATTGGAGACGACGCGATGAACAATTAGAGCATTCCTTTTGCTACACTTTATCAGAAGCCTCAGAGCGCCAACGAAGACTTTGTCAGACGGGCGAGGGAGGAGAAGGAGGCCGATCGCCTGCGGGCAGACAACAACCGCCTGCAGGCCCGGCGTGCGCTCACAGGTGACCAGGCGTGTGTGAGGCAGCTGCACGGCGACCTTGGGTCTCTCGAGGAGTGCCCGTGGCTACACCGCCAGCCACATGAGTGGTGCTCTTGACCGCCTCAGCCGAGAATGACAGGCACATAAAGGTCAAGAGGCTGGTGGAGGTGCAGCTGCAGCAGGCCATCAAGGCACCTGAGGCATTGGAGGTGCAGGCCAAGGGGAAGAACGAAGTACTGCGGCACAGCAAGGTACCCTCCTACACTATACCGACACAGACAGAGCTTGGCGTCTCTTTGTGTGTGCCTCTGATTCCTCTTTGTTTGTCTCCATTTCTCTAGGTTGTTGTTGGCTGCTGGGAACGACCTGACAGCGTCGTGGAAAGTGCGTGCGGCGGCACAGACACTCATGGTAGGCTTGTCTCATATATCATGGCACACACGACATGTGACACATCCGCTGTATCTTTCCTTTCCATCATTGTTTCCTATCCTTGTATATGCCAGCCTTCCGGATCCCGCATAGCCAAGACAAAGCAGATCGCGGCAGGAAAGGAAAATTGTGGCGATGTCTCTGTCTGTCTGTGTGCCGGCGCCCTCTGTCTGTTCCCCCTCACTTCGCTTCAATCCTTCCTCAACGCCAGTGAAGACGGTATCGGATCATCTGAAGCGTCTAAGACCAGCCCCTCGCCAGCAGCAGGGACCCACCGCCGCAGCCTGGCCTGACGGCTCCTCCCGGCATGACACCCGCAGCCCCCGGCCAGCAGCAGCAATCTACTGGCAATGAAGAGGGAAGGGAAGACACCGCCCCGCTGTGAATTTGTGGCTGTGAATTTGTGGCTTGACTGCAGACCACCGAGCGTAAAGGCCAGAGAATCCTTCGTCACCAAATGATCGTTGCCTGCATTTTATATCTGTTGAAAGTGCACACAAATATCTCCGCCGCTGGCTGGCTGGCTGGCTGGATGGATGGAGCCAGGAGGGTGTGCTCGGGTGTGAGGACGATGGCTGTTAGCGAACACGTGTGTGAGTGAAGTGGGATAGTGGTCTTCATTGCTCAACGAAAAGACGTCTCTGTCCGCTCAGCGCATTGCATCGTGGCACGTCAGTGTTTCCCATTGCTCGTGGGTGTATCCGTCGTGTGTCTCCCATTAAGCAGCCATCATGTACCGGGCCCACAAAGACATGAATTTTCATTGACATGCAGCGCACAACCCACTCCCCATGCACATACACAGCCCGGCACCACCCTTACTCTGCCGACTGCGACTCATTGAAACCAACTTGGCACCACCTGATCGACCAGAACGAGACACAACCGAGACACATGAGCGAGCACCACCAAGCCAACCTTCAGACCCACCCACCTGTGCCAGTGGAGCTGCTAGATGCATCCTGTGCCCTGCCAGCCATTCCTTGTCCCATCCCCGTCCCAGTGGCACCTTTCCCCTCATCCATGAGCGACAGAGATGACCGAGGCCACGTGAACGAGTCCTGCTGCTGCTGCCCAGCGGCCCCGGTCAGCAGTGCCGTCATGGTCTGTGGCCGTGAGTCTTCCCACGGGGCGAGGATACCCCCACTCCCGTTGCCCTGGATGTGGGGGCCCAAGTGTGTGATGCCTGGCCATAGGGACTGGGGGGTGTGGGAGAGTGCGAGGGTGGCCACGTGAGATGAGTCGAAGAGAGCTGACCCGCTGCTGCCCACCGTCATAGTGCCGTGACCGAGCGTCGGGCTCAGCAACTCACAACCTGGGTTGAAAAAGCAAAGGAGGAAAGAGACACGCAAAAGTGCGTCCCATTGGTGATTGATCAGCCAATTTTTCACTTACATGCCACACTGGGTGACTCTTGCTTGGGATTCGTCTGGGGCTCCGCAGTACTGGCAGCACTGCCCGTCTGCCAGGTGCGACCGATCGGAACCAACTTGGCACCACCTGATCGACCAGAATGAGACACGACCGAGACACATGAGCGAGCACCACCAAGCCAACCGTCAGACCCACCCACCTGTGCCAGTGATGCTGCTAGATGCATCCTGTCCCTGCCCCCGCCCCGCCCCACTGGCACCCTGCCCCTCATCCATGAGCGATAGAGAGGACGGGATCAACGCGAAGAAGTTCTGCTGCTGCCGCTGCTGCTGCCCAGCGGCGGCGGTCAGCGCTGCACTTCTCTTCTGCGATGGAATGCCTGGCTGGGGCAGTGCCTGGGGCTGCTGCAGTGATGGGGGCTGCTGCAGTGATGGGGCTGTGCTGCTGAAATTGGTCACATCAGCCGGGCCGGTCGAGTGAGAGAAGGCCGGACTCATCAACTCTGCACACAACACGACAAAGGCATGGCACAGAACTACCTCTGACGAGTGTGGTGGGAGGGGGTATTGTGGTGCCTTTCCTGACGTACCAGCAGTGCCGGCTCCCAGGTTGCTGTGTGCGTCAGTGAATGAGCGGCCGTCCGCCTCGTCCATGTCCATCCCCCGCCCGTCGTCACCGCCCTCATGGCCCATGCCGACCAGCCCCATGGACACCAGCCCCTCCCCACCCATGTCACCATCCACGGTGTGTCTGATGGCCTGGTCCAGACGGCTGATGGCGTTGGGCGAGATGAGGCCCTCCGCACTGTCGCTCCCGGATGTGTTGTGGCGTTGCTGCTGGTGAGTGGGGCTGGGCTGCGGGGTGGGTGAGCTGCCCTGGCTCTGATTGGACGCATGGTTCCCCATCTCAACTGTCAGGGCCTGCATCGGACACTCACAGGCACACACGAAGTCACAACACATTCCAAATAATCTCCCCCCCAAATCTTTCGTGTTGCTGTGCGCATCTCATCTGCTTACTGGCTGCCGATGTGGGTGGACGGGGTGGCCGTCGTGGGGCAGCTCCAGCGATTGTGCTCGCGGCGTCAGCGGGGATGGCGATGGGTTCGGCGACACGTGGGCGAATGGGTTGTGCACAGGGGAGCTGCCGGGGGGCGCCATGCCAGGGGGCGCCATGCCAGGGGGCGCCATGCCAGGGGGCGCCATGCCAGGGGGCGCCATGCCAGGGGGCGACATGCCAGGGGGCGACATGCCAGGGGGCGACATGCCAGGGGGCGACATGCCAGGGGGCCACATGGTTGGCATGGTGAGGGGGCAGGGCTCGCCCAAGAGGGACGGTCCAAACCAGGAATGATCCAACGCCTCTTGAGCTGACACAACACACACGTGACACAGGCACGTCTCCCACGGCACCTAGGTGGCAGAGCTCCTCTCTCTGTGCGATCTACCTGAGGATAGTCTGTCATTGGGGTGGTAGGTGAGGAGCCAGCTTATGAGGTCGGTGGCAGCAGGGAAACGCTGCACTACGGCGTCCTCGAACTTGAGGAAACCCTGACACACGCGCGAGCATATGAATCCGTTGTGTGTGTGTAAAGCGTCTCGCGCTCATCCTTACCTGTCTGAGAACCCTTCGCACTTCCCGGCTGCTTTTGCACTCGGACAGGATGAATGGGAAATTACCAGTGATTAACACGTACCTGCACACACAGAGGGTGTGATGATGATTTGTGTGTGTTGATGGTTTGATGACATTGGTGTCTCTCTCTCTCTGACTTACAGGATGACGCCGCATCCCCAGAGGTCTGACGCCTGGGTGTACTGACCCTTCTGACCCTTGTAACACTCAGGAGTCTGCACACACACAGACAGCCGAAGACATCTTCCCCACTGTCTGCCCGTTGCTGCTGTCTTGCTTGCTTCCCTTGTTGCGTACCATGTACTCTCTTGTGCCGACTACAGAGACCTTGTCCTCCTCCTCGACGGTCTTGGGGGAGTCGGCTCGGTCGATAAACATGCACATATCGAAGTCCAGGAGCACCACCTGACCTCCAGGCCGGTCCTTGAAAAGCACGTTGTCCATCTTGATATCACGATGCAGTAGCTGACACACACACCGCAGGGAGAGATGGACAAGTGAGATGATTGGTGGGGAGGGAGACATGCGCAGGTGGGCCACCCACCCATCCATCCCTCCCTCCATTGCCCCACCCACTTACCCTATGCTCATGCAGGTGTCGGACAGCAGAGAGTATGTCCTTCATGATCCGCTTGCAGTCCGCCTCAGGGATGCCGCCCGGCTCGAACGACTTCACGAAGTCCACCAGGTCAGCCCCCTCGCACTTTTCCATCACGATGTAGAAGTGCTCGGGGTCCTCGAGCACCTCACGGATCTCGACCATGTTGGGGTGGCCGCGGCGAATGATGAAGTCGTAGATATCACGGAAGTACGACTCATTCGCAACCAACCTGGATGGACAGAATGAGAGATGCAATCAGAGAGAGCGTGTATGTCCAGGGAACCGGATGTGTGTATGTGGGGGTGCGGGTGGTATGTACTTCTGGCGTGTCTTGTGGATGCGCTTGATGGCGCGCTGCTGGTCGGTCCGCAGGCACACGGCGTCAAACACTTCCCCAGTGCTGCACCAAACACCACACGAATGATCGATGCACATAACATGTTTCTCTGGCCCCATTGTGCTGTGTGGTCATTAGCTTACTGTCCGCTGCCGAATTCCTCGTTCATCTGGTAGATGTCGTTGATGTCGGCAACCGACTGGATCAGGGTCGGCTCCCTGCGATGCGGCGTGTGCATGCTGCTGGCAGTGCTCGTCGGCGAATCGCCTGCGCTTCCTGGCGAGGGGGAGGGCGGGGGAGGGGGGTAGCGCGGCACTGGCGGCACGCTGAACGGATGGGCCACATTTGGGGGGACGGTGGTGGGGAGGCCAAAGGGGCCGTGGGCGAAGGACGAGGGCTCAGACGGCTGGAGGGATGACGGCGGCTGCTGTTGGTGGAGGAGAGCTAAGTGTGAGATGGCCTCTGGGCTGCTGGTCTGCATGGGGGCAGGTCCGTTTGGCGCGAAGGTTCTGCCCTGGGCTCCACCGGCGGGCGACATGCCAGGGGCCGCCATGCCAGGGGGCGCCATGCCAGGGGGCGCCATGCCAGGGGGGGCCTGACACATCCCTGGTGGGGGCGGTGGCGCCTTGATGAGGGGGTAGGGACGGCCCAAGAGGGACGGTCTAAACCAGAAATGATCCAACGCCTCTTGAGCTGACACACACATGACACAGGCACGTCTCCCACGGCACCCAGGTGGCAGAACTTTAGTCTCTGTGTGATCTACCTGAGGATAGTCTGTCATTGGGGTTGTAGGTGAGGAGCCAGCTTATGAGGTCGGTGGCCGCCGGGAACCGCTGCACCACGGCGTCCTCGAACTTGACACCCTGACACACACACAGACAGATGAATGGGACATAAGCATAGGAATCCATTGCGTGTGCAAAGCATCTCGCACTCATTCTTACCTGTCTGAGGACCTCCTGCACTTCCTGGTTGCTTTTGCACTGGGTCAGGTTGAACGGGAAGCGACGAGTGAGCAACGCGTACCTGCACACATCACGGCATGCTTGTGTGTGTTGATGGTTTGATGACATTGGTGTCTCAATGTCTAGCTGTCTGACTTACAGGATTACGCCGCACGACCAGAGGTCAGACGCTGGGGTGTACTGACCCTTGTAACACTCAGGCGCCTGCACACACACAGCCACAGGCATCCTCACTGATTGCCCGTCTTTTTGTGTCCCTCCCTGCTTTCCTTACTGACCGTGTATCTTGGTGTGCCGGCTACAGAGACCTTGTCCTCCTTCTCGACGGTCTTGGGGGGGTCGGCTCGGTCGATAAACATACACATATCGAAGTCCAGGAGCACCACCTGACCTCCATTCCGAGGCCTGTCCTGGAATATCACATTATCAAGCTTGATATCACGATGCAGAAGCTGACAGACCAACACACACATCCACACATCACACATCACACATACGGAGAGGTGGAGAAATGAGATAGATGATTGGCGGAGGGAGCGGAGACACGTGGCACCAGGTCGGCCACCCACCCATCCCTCCATTGCCCCACTCGCTTACCCTATGCTGATGCAGGTGTCGGACAGCAGCGAGTATGTTCTTCATGATCCGCTTGCAGTCCGCTTCCGGGATGCCGCCCGGCTCGAACGACTTCACGAAGTCCACCAAGTCGGGCCCCTTGCACTTCTCCATCACGATGTAGAAGTGTTCGGAGTCCTCGAGCACCTCACGGATGTTGACCAAGTTGGGGTGGCCGCGGCAAATGATGAAGTCGTAGATGTCACGGAAGTACGACTCGTCCACAACCAACCTGGATGGACAGAATGAGAGATGCAATCAGAGAGAGCGTGTGTGTTGTGTGTCCATGTGGGGGTGTGGGTGCTATGTACTTCTGCCGTGTCTTGTGGATGCGTTTGATGGCGCGCTGCTGGTCGGTCCGCAGGCACACGGCGTCAAACACTTCCCCAGTGCTGCACCAAACACCACACGAATGCAATCGATGCACATAACATGTTTCTCTGGCCCCATTGTGCTGTGTGGTCATTAGCTTACTATCCGCTGCCGAGTTTCTCGTTCATCTGGTAGATGTCGTTGATGTCGGCAACCGACTGGATCAGGGTCGGCTCCCTGCGATACGGTGTGTGCATGCTGCTGGCAGTGCTCGTCGGCGAATCGCCTGCGCTTCCTGGCGAGGGGGAGGGCGGGGGAGGGGGGTAGCGCGGCACTGGCGGCACGCTGAACGGATGGGCCGCATTTGGGGGGACGGTGGTGGGGACGGCAAAGGGGTGGGCGAAGGACTGGGGCTCAGACGGCTTGATAGATGACTGCTGAGGTTGCTGGTGCTGTTGGTGAAGGGGAGCTTGGTCTGAGGGAGCCCTTGGACTGCTGGTCTGCATGGGGGCAGGTCCGTTGGGCGCGAAGGGTCCGCTCTGGGCTCCGCCGGCCGCTAAAGCGAGTGGAGAGGGAGACGGTGGGCTGCTGGACATGTTGGTGTTGTAAGAACTGTTGTGGCACGAACCCGAGCTGCTTCCTGTTCCCGTCGAGGTTCCTTCACTATCATGGGGGACGACTGGCTGACTTGGGCCGCCCTGACGCGATGACGGGGCGGATGTAGCCATTGCAGCCGCACAAACAACCTGAAAGAAGCCCCCAAACCGAGTTCGGTTTTACGGGGACACACGCCCGAGACGCCCACAGGAGGAGCTGATGCTGATGAACAGGCCGCGATTTGAGTCGTTTCTCGTCTGCTGCCTCGATCTGCTCCTCGGTCAGATAAGGTGAGTATGGAGACACCTTCTGACGCAGGAACAGACCGGTGCGCATTGCAAAGACGAAACCATTTCCCCCAGCCAGAATCGTGTATGTATGTACATGCATCAGTCAGTACATGACCACAGCATTGTCCGTCCCGCCTTGTGCCTTGTCTTGTTGTTTTGCTCCGCATCCATGCATATCCATCAATCCATCCATCGTCAGTCTGTCAGTCAGTCAGTCTGTCAGACAACACAGGTCGTCAACTGGCGCAAAGCGGTGTGCATGTGTGCGTGTGTGTGAGTACACCGAGGCACAGCTGCTCGACCTGAGTGAGATGACTGAACGAATGAATGAGTGGATTGACTCATCAATTTCATCAAACAAAGGAACTGGTTCATGATCGTCCAACGTACTCTCTACTTCGCCCTCACGTCAGATCTCTCCGACATGAACGACAGCAACATGCAGCAACACGGTACGTATACACGATCCATGTAGAGATGCATTGTTCGTGTACACAATGGATGCGTACATGTCTTGACAGAGGATCTTCACACACCACCTATAGCTACCTACCTCACACAACACCTCATCCGTCTCATGGCATGCAACACAACCCGTAGAAGACCTCCGTGCAGCGCGCCGATTGCGCGATCCCGTGCCCGTGCAGTCAGCTACTGAGAAATCGTGTCATCACACAGACCACGACAGCACCGAACCAGCTCAGCGAAGAGAAAGATTCCCATGTAGATCCACCAGATCAGCATCTGACCGGCCAACAATGACATGCACAGTAGTGGCAGAACGACACACCAGTCGGCCACACGGTACACGGCGTTCTTCGCCTCTTGAATCTTCGCCACTTGAATCGCCTCTACACGCACTACTTCCATTGCCTCCTCAAGGGAGAGTTCACGCTCGCGTGGAGCCTCGTCACACGAAACGACACAGCGACCGCACCGCAGACACACAGCGGCCAGAGCCAAAACCACCAGGGAAACCACAGAAAGACTATCACAATGGTAGGGAAGGTAGTTGAGTAGAGCATTTGTCCACAGCAATGTTATGATGTGGCTTGCCGCGTAGCACGCCGCCTTGCCGTTGGGGGGAAGTATGCACCGCATGACGCCGCCACAACGGCCATCCCCTTGCAGTACGACCACTCGCACGCCGCTATACAGCAAGTTGCCGCGAGAGACAGGCCCACCCACGCCACAGCGGACGAAGGGACCACGGCAAACAGCAGCGGAACGAAGTACCACAGCTGGTGGGTCACGACGAGCGCACAGAAGTTGATCCAGCCGGGCTGTAAGCAGCAAAAGAACACACGGAATGAGCACAAAGGATGGACGCATTGGCCTGTTTTCCCGGTCTCACCTTTTTGGCCTCTGGCAGATCCGGCAGAGCAGCGCGATCGTGACGAGAGGAGTCATCGAGGGGAATCAGCAGGGGAATCAGCAGGGCGGCCCTACCGTTGTGGGGCGATGTGACGATGCTCATGTTGTGGCTTGAACAAACGTGAGCTGATGAATAGATGCCGATGGACACGTGATAGATGCCTCAGGACAGTTCGCCAGACAGCCTCTTTCTCGTCTCTCCCCTTTTCTGTCTTCTCCCCTTTCCTCTCTAAGCTCGCAGACGGAGGGTAGTGTCCTCCCTGAAACCGCTGCTCGAGAGGGGAAGGCAGAGGGGAAGGGGAAGGAAAACTACTCCCGCTCGGCCTGCGATGCCTTTCACTGCTGCCACGCAAGATCTGGTTTTTGAAGCGGGTGGTTTTTAGAGCGGGTGGTCCATCGACGATGCGGGTGAGATGGGATGCTTGTGCTCCGGCTGGATGCACCTTCTGCTGTCATTGCAATGTGCGGCTTGTGCTTTCATTTCTTCTCTCCAGGTTGGTGTTGAAGGCTGCTGCCACGGCGAACTCAACGCCATCTATCGTGCCCTGGAGGACGTCAGCCAGAGGGATGGAGTGCCCGTTGACCTCCTGCTCATGTGTGGAGACTTCCAGGCAAGATCCCTCAGACACAGCGTCCACTCGGACTGCGAGGCATTCGGTGTGTGATCCGGTGTGTGCAGTCGGCGCGTTTTGAGTCTGACATGCAGTGGCAGACGATGCCTCCCAAGTATCGCAAGATGATGGACTTCCATGAATACTACTCGGGCGCCAAGACGGCACCATGCCTCACCATCTTCGTCGGAGGCAACCATGAGGCACCCAACGTCCTCTCAGAACTGTACGCTCCCACTCATGGGCATCAACAGCACGGGCAGTCGGTTGCCAGTGGTACTTGATGTTGATCTGCTCTGCTCGTTCAGGTATTTCGGCGGCTGGGTGGCGCCCAACATCTTCTTCCTGGGCTCTAGTGGTGTGGTCCGTGTGGGGGATCTGCGTATCGGAGGCTACTCGGGTATCTACAAGCCGTACGACTACAACAAAGGTCAGTCAGTCACACTCGGTGGTCAGTGGGTGGAGAGAAGCAATGTACATTCATTACACTCACGTGTGTGACGTGTGTGACGTGTCTGTCTGTCTGTGTGTGTGAGTGCAGGTTACTTTGAGAAGATCCCGTATGACGACTCGACCCGGCGGACGGCATGCCACACGCGGGAGTTCGAGATCAAGAAACTGGGCGAGGTCGGCAGATCAGCAATGGAGAGGAACAGGCTGGCTATTGATGCAGTGTTCATTGACAGGTAGGTGATTTGATTATGTGTATGACTATAGGTGAGAGAGCCTGTGGATGTCATGCTCAGCCACGACTGGCCAAACGGTACACACGACACGACACGCACCGAGCCGGGACGCGCCTGCTCATGCCATGCAATGAGTGGCGGGTGAGTGCGTGTGTGCGTGGCCTGCAGGTGTGGTGGACTATGGTGACCGTCAGGGCCTCATTCAGAAGAAGCCATTCTTCAAAGATGACGTGAGTGCACCAGACCAAGAGACCAACACGCACATTCACGCATCGCCTTCCTTTATTGCACTTGGTTGCAGCTGGACAGGAACCAGCTCGGCAACACTCCCGCCATGCTGCTGCTCAGGCAAATGAAACCGTAAGTGAACACAACAAGGCGAGGGAGGGACCGAATGCGATGTGATATGATGTGATGTGTGGTGCTCCTCCCTCCTTGCTTGCGTGCAGCCGGTTCTGGTTCTCGGCCCACCTCCACGTCAAGTTCGCGTCGATTATCCCACACCACCAGCCACCCAATGGAAACAACCCTAACCAGAGGCACCAGGCAACCAGGTTCGTATGTATCGAGATCCCCATCACATCACCCCACCAATCTATCTCTACGCCTGTGTGTGTTGTGTTGTTTGTCCAGGTTTCTGGCGCTGGACAAGGTGCATGAGCGTCGGCCTGGAGCCTTCCTGCAGATCCTGGACATCGACATGCCGTCTGACACATGCCCTGCTGGCCACTGGCTCATCCACAACGATGGCAGCGATGGCAGCGCGCTCGTGGATGCCCAAGGCGATTCAGCAGCAGCAGCAGCTGCAGGAGCCGATGCTGCCGGGGCTGCACAAGAAGCGTCATCCGCCCAGCAGGAGAGCAGTGGACCTTCTGAGCCGCTGTGCATTCGGTTCGTTGGAGAAACAGAGAGGAAAAGGGTCTGGTCTGTGGATGGGATGAGTGAGGTGCGGGTGTTTCTCTCTGCGCGTCTGTATGGTGCAGTTACGATGCCGAGTGGCTGTCAATCCTGCGTGCGAACCACCCGAACATCCCATATGGGCCCCACAACAGGCCCCACAACACCTGGTACGGTCGGTGCAGTACGCAGCGCACACACAGAGCATACCATACCAACACAAGGGTGACGTGACACCCTCTGTCTGCTGTTCGTTCCATATTCCTTCGTTCGTTCGTTCGTTCGTTGGTTCGTCCAGTGCGCCGACTGACGATGACCGCGTCCATGTGCAGGAGAGGCTGCAACAGGACGCGCAAGGTACACTCACACGACACGAACACGACACGCGGACGTACCGGGCCTGCCTTTGTGTGTGGACCAATCGAATCGCCCATCCCCTCAGATGGCCGGTGGCCCCACTGGACGTCGCCCGACGGGGACTATCGAGACCTCCCTGGCCAGCGGAGAGCCTTCCTGCGGCTGCTGAGTCTCGAAGATACATGGGATGCCAGAGACCAACACGCCCCACCACCAAGGCCACAAGCACCACCACGGCAGCCACCTGCCCCTCCTCTGTTTGCCCGCCCACCACCACCACCACCACCTCCTCCTGCCCCGAGACCAGCTGCGGTGAGCCAGGCAGCGCATCGGATCGATGTGGTATTGACTGCATCCGGATGTGTGTGTGTATCAGGGCGGTGCTGACGAGGAGATTGACATCGACATGGATCTGGGACTGGACGAGGAAGCAGAAGGGGCGGCCGACGGAGAAGCACTGGTGGGTGCGCGGCGCGGCGCATGCATCAACAGATGAAGATGCTTTTGATCTGTTTGTTGGTGTGGGTGTTTCTTCTTGGTCTCTGTGCGGGCTACAGGAGCATCGCGAGAAGAGAGCTAAGACTGATGCCGATGCCGGTGCCGATGGTGGCGATTAGAAGACCGACAGCTGAGTTTGTGTCGTCTGGTGGATGTACTGACTTTTGTACGTGAGGGACTGACTGAGGTATTTATCTATCGACATACCATACATGCATAGAAAGCATCACTGCCGTCAGTTATTCCCTTGGATGAAGGGAGGGACCCAGCCAGCCAGGCCAGGCAGCCAGCCAGGCAGCTGTCCTGTCGTCTCACTCACACACATGACTGACATGCAGGCACGTCGAAGCGACTTACGACAAAAAAGGATTTGTCAATCTATCGCTCGCTCCATCAATGCATTCAATGCACTGCACTGCACTGCACGCACATATCGATCGATCGGTGGGTGTCTCGCACGTCGCGTCACGTCACTGCAGCCATGCACCGCACCCAGCCAGGCATCAAGACGACCACAGACCAATCGCTGTCTGTAAATGAGACACGCGCTGCGCTCTACTCTTTCTTTCTCTGTCAATTGGGTGCGGTGCGCACGTGTGTGCCTGCCTGCCTGCCTGCCTGGCCACTCACCCGCCCATTCATTATTCCCCCACCCGCCACCCCCCGGCCCCTCCAAGATATCAAATAAGTATGTATGTACACCGTGCGATAGAGGACATGACATCATTCAATCAATCCACCCAAAGGCCATCCATCCATTCGTTCATTCATTCATTCGTTGGTTGGTATCTATCGATCCACCCGCCCCTCCCCTCCAGCCAGAACTGTGAGGCTGGAAGGATGCATGGCGCTCACACGGCACGCATCACGTCAGTCAATCGGGGCATGCAGCTAGCTAGGGAAATAATGAAAGAAACAGCACAAACAAACAAGAAAGACGCGCATCGCATGCACTTTAGTTAGTGGGAAGGAATATAAATACAGCCAGCCGTTCGTCCATTCGTCCATTCGTTCATTTCTTCGTCTGTCTGTCTGTCTGTCTGCCATCAGCGCTGTTCGTGCTGAGGAGTCACTCACGCACATCCACACACCCACACATCCAGCCATGAAAGCATCAAACGAACGAAAGAAGAATAAGACAGCAGTAAGCAGTCAGACAGACAGAGGAGAGGAGCAGAGCACACAGTGGTGGACGGAACAGCTTGCACGGCACGCAGGGCATGCAGTGCAGCCAGAGAGGCGGGGCGGGGCGGGAGGGCGAGTGAGTAGGGGCAGGACACAGCAGTCTATTCGTCTGCCGCGCTGGGAGGCCTCGCATCTTTGCACGCACGCATAGCGCTCGTTAAGGTCTGTCTGTTCTCGTGTATGTCTGTCTGTGTGGTGGAATGGGGACCGATTGATTGACAAAGACACTGAGTGAGTGAGACACACACAGGCAGGCAGGCAGGCAGGCAAGGCACACACTAAGCCACTAGATCTAGATGTATGTAAGCATGTGTGTAAGGAAGTATGTAAGTGATGAATGTCTTTCTGTCGATCTGTCGATCTGTCTTTTGCCTTTCCTTCTTTGCGGAGATTCTTTGCTCCTCATACCATGCCATGCCATGCCATGTCAGACGCACTCACGCACTTACAGCACACAACACAACACAACACATCACAACAGCCAGCCGGCCCTCATATTTCTCTATGTCAGCTATAGGTAGGTAGTCGCGATGTGTCTCGCGTGAGTATGTGTGTAGGTAGGTATGCAGCAGACAAATGATGACTGAAGAAAGACAGACAGCGTGCGGAGCCAACACACACAGAGACACACACAGACACACACACAGAGACACACACAGAGACACACCACACCACACCATCACCGCAACAAGATCGTTCCGCGCCATCCAATCCATGCCATGCCAGTAAGCAAACCAAACCACCAAACAAACGACTCCATGCTCTCATGTACTTATGTGTGTAGACAGACAGATAGCATTAGGTAGAGAAAGTGACCCTCCCTCCCTCACTCCCTCCCGTCAGCCATCCATCCATCCAGAGCAGAGCAGCTAGAGCAGTGGAGACTCACACCTCACACACACACACACACACACATCTACACCACACGACAATACATACAATACACAATTGAGAAAAAGGCAGTCATTCCGTTCCATCAAGACGACCGACCGACGCACACACCCACACACAAGAGTAGGGTCACTAACCCACACAAACCCCCGGCCACACCCCCGCCCACCCACTCACTCATTCGTTTGTTCCGTTCCGTTCTGTCTCTTCCTTCCTCCGCTGGTCTGTCTGTCTGTCGCGTGCTGCATCCGTCCGCCCCCTCCACCACCTCAAGTCAGTCAAGACACTCATGCAGACAGTTTGTGTGAGTATGAGTATGAGTATGTGTGTGTGTGTGTGTGTGTCCAGATGAATGAATGAATGAGTGAAATGAACGTGAGTGACCCGACTGCCTGCCTGCCTGCCTGGACGCATGGATAGAAAAATGTCCACAAGACGGTCTGCTCTGCTGGCTGTCGTGGGAATGAATGGATCATGATGAAGCTGCACGGGCTCGGCTGACTGACTGGCAGAGGGAGGGAAGCAGGGAGACGCATACACACAGCATGGTCAGCATGGTCATGGTCGTAAAGCGAAAATTCCCTGTCCCTCATCGCACCGTTCCCCAATACAGCAGCCAGCCAACTAAGGTGAGGGAGTGAAAATTGTGTGATCAATCGACTGACTAGCAGCTGCCTCGCTCGCTCACTATTGATTCCATCCATCCATCCATCCACACACCACACACCGGCATGGCATACCCTGGTCCACGCACGTATCGTATCGGAGAGAGCGAAAAAAGACACACAACACAGACAGACAGCGTGAGTGACATCTTGACGAGCGAGATGAGGTGGACCCTCGTGGATGGAATGACGGCAGGCAGGCAGGCAGCAAGAGAGACACACAGACACAAACCGACAGACAGACAGACAGACAGACGGCGGGAGAAAACACAACAACAAGACAAGTGGATGGGTGGATGGGTGTCTGCAGTGGGCATGTGTGTGTATGTGTATGTGTGTGTGTAGCTAATCTGTGACCCTCTACGCGACCGAACGACATGATGGATGGATGATACTCACTCAGTGCACGGGCGGATGGATTGCTACACGTAGAGTAGAGAGGGAGGGAGGGAGGGAAAAAAGGCGTATTGATCGACCCAATCATCAGCCACCCAGCCAGCCAGTCTTCGGAAACCGACAAAAATATAGATAGCAGGGAGGGAGGGGCGGGGAGGATTGCATTGCGCCACTCACTACTACTCACTCACTCGCGAAAAAACGCAGAAAGACAGAAGTAAAGCTCCCTGCCTGCCTGCCTGCACACGCCACGCCGTGATGCGCCTGTCTGTCCAGATCCTATTCGTGTATGTGTGTGTGTGTGTGTGTGTCTGTGCAATGTGATGCTATGGTGTAGTGTGGTGTGGTGTGTATTGATTGCGTGCGTCAGCCAGCCTACAGATGTGTGTGTGTGATCTACGAGAGCCCAGGTCTGTATCCTATCCGCCAAAACAAGTAAACAAAAAAGGCACCCAGGACACCGTAGACACATACGCACACGCACACACACTCACACTCACACCCACACTCACTCACACACGCATAGACATAGAGCGCCTTCCTTCGCTGTGTGTGCCGACCAAGAGTGACATCGACGTCTGTCTGTCTGTATGTGCAGCAGTGACTGTGCGAAGCAGACAGGCAGGCAGGCAGGCACCATCCATCCATCCATCCAGCAGCCAACAGCTATCAGCCATCCCTCTCTCTCTCTCTCTCTGTTGGTCGGTGTGATAGCAGGCTCCTGCACCAAAAAAGTTGTGTGTGGAGCCTCGCCCATTCGCCCAGAGAGAAGTTGATGATGATGAGGTGAGGGAGCATCCAAGTACGTGTGTGAACCGACAGACAGCAGTAGCAGCGCAAACGCTTATCATGGCGCCGTGACAGCCAAGGTAGGACAGACAGACAGACAGACAGACGGACAGACGAGAGAGAGAGAGAGAGAGAGAGCCTGAGTGAGAGTGAATGCCCTCTATCTACTTGTATGTTTCCAAATCCAACACGCGACCAACCAGGTACCCTACCCTCCGCCCCGCCATCCAACAGAACTGCCGACGGATGAATGAGTGAGGGAGCCAAACAACACACAATCCTTCCCCTCCCCTCCCTCCCGTCCCTCTCCCTGCCCTCTACGCCAACACCGACAAGAGAAGATGTGTACGTAAAATTGGACTCTCCAGCACGCACACCACACAATCACACCATCAGACCATCAGACCCTTCCATCGTCCCATGACATGCTCACATACCGCCCTCCCTCCCGTCCCCCTCCTGCACGAGTGACGCGCTGCTGCTCGAGTGGGAGTCGGCCTGCGTCTGCACGTCCGTCATCATGTCCTCGGCGCCACCTTTGCTGCTCACGGCCATGTCTGCGTCGGTCTGCTGCTGTTGGTGGCTGTGGGGGTTTGTGTGGGGGTGGGCGTGCTGGTCCGTGGCTGCGTGTGGCCGCAGGTGCGTGAATGCGGTGTAGAGGTGCTTCTGCATGGCCTTGAGCAGCCCCCCCACCTCCGTGTAGGCCAAACTTCCAGGCCCACCGAACGCTGCCTCTGTCTCAGCGTCACCGAAACGAAGAGTTGGCAGCTGACACACACACACACAGAGACAGAGAGAGAGAGAGAGAGAGAGAGAGAGAAGGAAATGAATCACGTGTGATGTGCGTGTATTGCCCTCCTCAATTTCGTCCCTCCCGCACCCACCTGTCTCTGAACCTCCTGCAGGTCCTTGGCGAACCGCTGTAGTGCCGTGAAAGCCGCCCTCCTCCTGTTGAGCTGCTGCGGGGCCAGCTCCCGCGGCGGGCTCCCCTGCAGCCGCCAGGTCCGGTAGGCAGTCTCCAGGTCACACCTCTCGACAGGCTGAGTCGACACGCCATGCAGCGGGAGCTTGACGCCACTGCCGCTCGGGGGCACCGCCAAAATTCGCAGCCGCAGCGACATGGTGGTGAAGCGCTCCTCGAAGCCCGGCCCCCTGATGACCCCCCGCCACCCACCGTCGAGCTGGTAGGGCGGGCCCCAGTAGGAGCCCTGGCTGACGGCCAGCGCATAGACCTTCCCCTGCCCTTTTGCCGGGGACTGGCTCGCCTTGTTGGTCGACGACGGGCTGCGCATGGCAGTGTCCTCGCTGTTGCTGCTGATGGTGCTCGTGGGGGCGGGGAGGGGAATGGTCTCTGTCTCGGGTTTGGCCACCACCACCTTGACGCTCAGCGAATGGAATAGCAGACACACGTAGTCGCGACACAGACGGCCGATCGCGCCACGCACGGCCGTCTCGACCTCCCCACACCCACCGGCGCCCTTGCCGCCCTCGTCGCTGGTAGCCGGCTGGCCCGCCGACTGGCTCGTGCGGTCGCCTGCCCGCCAACATGCGTGTGAGGGGTCTGCCCGCGCAACCTCGGTGTCGTTGTCTTGGTCTGTGGGTGGGTCGAGGAGGGGTGAGGGGATGGTGTCTGGTGAGGGGGGGAAAGGGCCCGCCGTGGCGCTGCTGCCTTGGTGTGGGGTGGAGGCGGGTTGTGACGTGGGCGTGGCTGAGGGCATGGATGGGGGCTGGCCCTGCAGCACCTCCAGAGGGACGTCCCGCAACAGGCCCATGAGCTGCTCCCGGGTGACGAGGATGCTCTGCAGGTTGGCCATCCACGCCTCCTTCTCGAAGTGGTCGTCGCACACATCGCCCTCCTCTGCGTCGGCCTCCACGGCACCGGAGGTCTCCTCCCCCTCGACTGGTTGCGATGATGGGATCGGCAGCTGGAGTGACGGCGGCTGGTGTGTGTGGGGGGGGTGGTGGTCCTCGCACATGCCGTCCCCCCTGCCCTCCTCGTCCCTCATGTCCGTGTCCCCCACCATGCCCTCGCCATGCCCCTCCCTCTCCTGATCGCCGCCCGTCTCGTTACGGACGGCATCGGCGGCATCAGGTGCGGCAGCAGGACCACCGTGATTGACATACGCCGCAATGGTGCCACCCTGCCGCTCTGGGGACATCCACTGCGTCTGATTGCTGTTGGTCTGGCTCTCTGTCGCTGGATCGGGGTGCCCCCCCAGCTGCCCGAGGATCTGTGGGGGCGAGCAGCCACAGCAGCTGCTGGTGCAGCCGGGGAAGGCCGGCGACGACGGCACGTGGTTGGCGGCCTTGCTGTTCTTGGTGCTGCCGCCTTCTGCTGCGCACACGGACGGGGAGGGGGGGGATGTGGGCAGCTCGGGTGACGCACTTGGGCTGGGGCCAACAGGTGGGGACAGGGGAGGGATGGAGGCATCCTTCTCCAGATGATGCTGATGCTGATGGGGGGGCTGGCATGTGTCCTTGACGACCTCGGCGCTCTTGTGCGGCTCCTTGCTCTTGTTGGTCTGGGCGAAGTGGAGCTTGCCCCACTTGAACGACAGCGCCATCGCCAGCCGGCTCGTGCCCTCACCATGGCCACCGCCGCCACCACCTCCAGGTGACAAGACACCCCTCGCCGCACTGCCATTTGCATGCGCCGCACCACCCTTCTGTCCGCGGCCGAACAGACTGTTGCCCTTCCTCTGCTGGCCGGCCGGCCCGTCGCCCTCTGCCCTCTCCCTCGACGTGTTCGCCTTCCTGCCGCTGTCCTCAGTGGCCGTCTGCGTGTCATACGTCGACACAGTCGTCCCGCTCCGCCCATGCGGCAGCGCCAACCCCCTCAGCGCCTGGGAGAACCGCGACGCAGCCGGCGCCCTTGCTGGCGGCCTCTCCTTCTCCCGAGCTGACGCCGGCGGCCTTTCGGCCGTGTGAGTAACTGATGGGGGGGCAGTGGTGGGCACCGATGAGGACGGCTGAGGGCCTTGGGTGGCGTGTGATGCCGTGGGGGTGTTGTTCCGCGAGTCGGACCTGACTGTTGGTGTGGGTGCGGGGGTGGGTGGGGGGGCTGGGGGCATGAGGGGGCGCGTCTTCTTGCCACAGGGCTTGTCTGTTTGGTGTGAGTGGGATACGGATGGTGGGGGGTCGACCTCGCCCATGTGGAAGATGCCGCCGGACGTGAGGCAGACGGGCAGAGTGCTGGTGAGACCCTCCATCGCCTTCTCGATCGACACTGACGTCACGTCATCAACACAACCATCCTCTGACATGACAGACAGCACACATGACAAAAACACACGACACACGCAGAGGGAGGAAGAAAAGTGGTGATTAAAAAGTGATACGAATGAAGCGACACTCCCTCCCCCTCCCCTCCTCTGCACTCACTCATTTCGTTACCTGGTGATACTTTGACGGCCTCTGCTTGGAATGTGACCCTCCTCGCAGTCCTCCTATCGAGATGCATGGGCGACGCTGCCTGCCCCTCCTTGCCCACCTCTCCTTCTCCCTCTCGTCCTTCCCCCTCCGCCTCGCCCTCGCCTGCCGACCAGTCCATGACATCGGCGGCAGGGAAGCAGAAGGACGCGTCCATCATGTGCACGGTGGACGAGTTGAACGACGGCGTGCCGGGCAGGTGGGTCGGCGAGGTGCTGGGCGGGGTGGCGGCGATGCACGAGGCTGTAGGGAGCGATATCAGGCTTCGGATCGCGTCGTATGGTCGCTTTCTCCCTACTCTCGCCGTGGGGGAAGGCATTCTAGGAGCATGGCCCCTTCTCGCTGATAATATAGGATAGATAGATGGTCGGACCAATTACAATCAACCACACCCTTGCCGTCAGCAGCAGTAACGACGCATGACGTGACGATGTCGGATCAGCCAGCGGCAGCAGATGATGACGACCCAAGTAAGAAAGAAGGGGTGGGAAAAAGATGATGGACTGGCAGCTTCTTGCTGTCTGTCTTGGTCTGGGCGGAGATGGGTGGGTGCCTCCTTGTCAACAAGGAAGGCTGCGATCGGCACGAAGGACGGACACAGAGAGGACAGTGGTCGCGTTGACGAGGCTACTCACGACAGAGAGGGAGGGAGAGGGGAAGAGAAGACAATCACCCTCCTTATAGCTCCATCTTGGTCTCCGCCGCCCGCTTCGAATCCTCCGAGGCGTCTCGCTCTCTCAGTGGTGGTCAATAATGGCCCCTGAGGTGGACCTGTGTGTTCATCTCCTCCCTCCGGCCAGCCTCAGGACCCCACAGCCATCCTTAGGGCCCTGCCTGCAGCCTTTCTCCTCGCGCCTCTCGCAGCGATTCCGTACAGTGTGCAAACGAAACCATACCCTACAACCCAAACCCTGCTTTTGCGGAATATTAAAATTAGGTACCAACGCAAAGGACCACGAAATGATGTGGACGACGCGGACACGAAGGGCCTTGTTCGTGTGCGTCCAGCCGAGTTTCGCTTTCTATTAGCACAACAGTGACGAAGATCCCGACGTAAGTGGCTGACACCCTCGTTGCTGCACGGAAGTCACTTTCCGCCTTTGAGCGTTGGGCGTGGTTCTGCTGTGTGCAGGATCTGATCATCATGTCGGCTTCATCATCAGCCGGACAGCAACCACAGCAGCCACACCCGCAGCCGCAGCAGCAGCAGCAGGAGATGAAGATCCAGAAGGTGAAGATCCGTGTCCCCGGCGGCACCAGCAATGCCACCAAGCGGTTCATCGAGGGCATCATGCGACGCACAATCACACCTGACGACATCCGGCGGCTCGTCCGCGACGGGGCCGACCCTGCCGTGTGCATTGACTTCATCACCACGTGGGGTGATGATGAGGAGGAGTTTCGGCTGCGAGTGTGTCTGCTGTCAGTGGCCATCGACGACTGGAGCACTCCCACGGCGCTCGAAGCCGAGCTATGCCCAGGAGCACGGCTCGTGCTGCCGCTCTGGCCATCGCGTGAGGTGCAGGCGGCCGTCCTATCGGCTCTCATCCAGGAGGGCGTCGGGCTCAGTGGGCCACCCACGCCACCGCCACGACGCTCTCGAGCTATCGCTCCCATCACGGTGGCGGTGCGGGCAGACAACCTGACGGCCGTCAAGACCCTCGTGGCCAACGGAGCACCTTCTCTGGGGCGGCAGCTGGCCTCCCTGCCATGTGAGGTGCGCACCAGCGAGCAGTATGAGGCGGCCCTGATGGCCATCTACACCTACCTCGTCGAGCTCGACCCCTCCCTCGCCACCGAGCCAACAAATGGTGACTGGAATGTCATCCATTCGGCCGCCTGTGTGGGCCCCATCTACTCGGACAAGTTCATCCGCAGCTATCTGCAGCTGATGAAAGACAACGGCGCCAGCCTCACACAGCAGCCGGCGATGTTTCAGCCCCTGTATCGAGCAGCGTTCTCTTCGTCGTATCACGTGATCGAGTGGCTCTGCCAGCACCTCAGCCCCACCCAGATCAACACCACAGCAAGGAGAGGAGTCCACCAGAGGGCCTTGGAGATGGCTGCCATGAGGGTCACCGACTTGCGCAGCCAAGATGATGATGGTGAGGAGGAGAATCCCTTTGTGCCGCGTGACGAGACGGTCAGCGGGATGCAGCGGGCCATCCGCACACTGCTGACGTCGGCCGCAGCCATCGACATGGTGCAGACTGCCCAGCAGCTGCGGCCCAACGTCAACCAGGCGGCTCGAGATGCTCACGGTGTGGTGTTGGCCGAGTACCTCACCGTCCTCAACGACGAGCTGCCCCAGGCCGTCATGGACGGCGTCAACGGCGCCCTCTCTCCACAGCGAGACGCCGCCAACATGCTGACGCGCCTGCTGCCCCTTGCCCGCCCCGCCCCACCCACCACCTCCACTGACACATCCACTGCTGCTGCAGCACATGCCCCCGCTGCCCCCTCCCCATTTGCCCTCACGGATGCGACGGCCCAGGTGGCCTGGGAGATCGGTGCCTTCCTGCACGAGCCAGAGGCCGTCGACACCATCACCCTCGGGCAGGCCGTGGTGGCCCACCGCATCAAGAGGGCCATGCAGCACTTCGTCAAGTGCGCGGCGACGAAGACGGCCGGCAATGAGGAGGTCATCGGCGGCATGGCCAATGTGGGCAGCCAGGTGGTGCGGGTGCCCCTCCAGTGCTTCGCCGTCACAGAGGGGCCGACTGTGCGGCGGGTGGGTCTGCGCGAGGTGGTGCATCGGGCTCGGCTGGACGAGGCGGCCCGGTATGGGCTGACTGGTGTGGTCAAGGGCTTCAACACCCACCTGGGCAACGACGACTGTCAGTTCGGTTGGGGGCAATTGGGGTGGGTCAACGACATCGGCCTCTTCCAGCCGCTGGGCATCAACTAGCCGGCTGACGGCCACCATGATGATGTAGAGAGGGGAGGGAGAGATGGGAAGCTTAGGCAGGTAGAGTCGATTCTGGTGGTTACAGTGGGGTGCCTAGGGAGAGTGTGCATGTGAAGGGACCATGTCAAAGAGGCCGTGTTCGTCTATGTGTGTATGTGAGTGATTGTCTGCCAGCCTGTAGTTATGTAGAGAGGCAGTGGGCGAGGAGCGCCTGACTGTTGGTTGTGTGTGTCAGTAGGTGACGTCTTCCTCACCCACACGGATGACTGCGTGTTGATGTATTCATAGAAGGATCGGTGTCGTGTGTGCAGCGGTGACACGCCCTGCATTCGTGTCATCCTGGGCCATCTGTGTTTTCGGTGTCATCCCGGTTTATTTCGAGAGAGTTTACTTCGAAGAGAGAGGGTCCCACACACAAAGTAAACACATATTTGTACACACAAGACACACACGGGTGGTTGGTGCATACGACTGACTGACCACTTTGCTGCTGACGGACATACACCAGCCAGCCAATCGGCTGCATACGGCTGCACTCGGGCCATGCAGATACCCACCCACCCACTCCTCCCCCACCTGCACGCAACTCTGCGCGCATTTCTTATCTCGACTCGCTCATTCACGGTGGCTGACTGTGTGTAGGAAGGGGAAAACGACGGAGAAAACGATAGAGAACAACAGTGTTATCTCACGCCATACACTATGCACTCACATCCACCCGCAGACATATGGACAGACGGACGGGTAGGCCACAAGACAGCCAGCCAATCGGCTACGAATGACAGTGCAAAAATGCATTCTATGCGACATCTGCACGCAACTCTGCGCGCATTTCTTATCCCCACCCACTCGCTCATTCGCCCACCACTGACCCCATGCCAGACCTCATCAGAAAACGCGGTTACCACGGGAAGTAATCGTACCCGTCATCGCCCCAATCCCCCATGACATCGAAGAAGCCGCCATAGCCGTATCCGTAGCCGAAGTTGTACCTGTAGGTGTATCGGGGGGCGGCCGCCGCCCCGTACTTGCCTTTGCAGTACTCGTAGGATCGGTTGTAGGCCGCTATGTTGTAGCGGGAGCGGCCCTGACGAAGAACGTAGTCGACGTAGCCAGGAGCGTTTCTGACACAGGCGGAGAGGAGAGCCATGTCCCTTCAGTGGTGTTGTTTTCATGTTATCATGCGTACCGTTCAACCCAGGCGTATGTGCGGTCGAAGTACTTCCCGAAGCCCATGTGGGTGTTGCTTTCATTGTTGGTCGGTCGAGAGGCGCGCGAAGCACCATTGGCGCTCGACCGCGACGATGTGCTCTTGGTTGTTTTCTTCGTTGTGGTCTTCCGAACGCCACCAGCGACTGAGAGGACACCAGCACATGCAGGACACCCCCCACACACACAGAGTGGCAGAGTGGAAGAGTGTCATTTGGGTGCTCCGTACGTGTGAGATCATATTGGCGGCGCTTCTTGGCATTCGAGAGGACCTCATGAGCCTCGTTCACCTTCTGAAAGGCCTCTTTCGTGCCGCCCTTGTCAGGGTGTGTCTGCAACACCAAGCCAGCCAGAGGGAAGGAGTGGCCACTGCACAGGCCATTTGGCAGCACGGTGCGGCGTACCTTCTTGCTCTTGCTGTAGTAGGCCTTCCTGATTTGCTCCTTCGTGGCATCCTTCGAGATGCCGAGTCGCTCGTAGTGGTTCATCACCATCCTGACCACAATCCAATGTCACCTGCAGGCAGGCAGGAAATCTACAACGGTGCACACGATTTCACTCGACTTCATTCGCCGCCTTTCCTGCCCTCCGCCCCCCCCCC